TAACCCTAACCCTAACCCTAACCCTAACCCTAACCCTAACCCTAACCCTAACCCTAACCCTAACCCTAACCCTAACCCTAACCCTAACCCTAAAAATGAGATTGTAATATAAGGCACAGTTTTACAGATGAAGTAACAAATGATACATATTTAGTTATTGAAAGCCAGTGTATATATCGAGTTTGCAGATACGCAAATATTAGAGCTTAATGCATGAACATGCGTTTAGAGCGGGCCGGAAACAACATAGTTGGTGACGTTCTTCATCAGTAGCATACTTCCGTCGCCGGTACCCTGAGGCCTGGCAGCGATAACAGTCTTGGTTGGATTGATCACCTCTACAAAGTAGATATATTCGCCCTGGCCGTTGTTGTTGGGTTCATTCTCCTGTGCCTGCCGTCCATTAATAAATGTGAGGGCGCCGTCCTTTTGACCCTTGGAACGGACAAGCTTCCAGGTGCCGAACAGCTGGGAGCTGTCATCGCTGAAGCTACACTTCTTGAGTGCAAATCCCGTGTTTTCGGCTGAAGATGTGCAATAAAACGGGCGCTTGGTCAACTCAAGGGCCAGTAGATATCGAGACACGTGTGCATTTTACTAAACTGACTGGGATTACTTTGTTGCGGACGTGATGTGGTCTGGACGCAGAGACCGTCTGAAGCGCGACGAAGTTGACCATAGCTGTGTGAACGAGGCGCGGAGCTAATGAGCACAACAGTCAGGCAATGCAGCGCTATCGCGCAAACTCACAACGTGCTACCGCCCGAACCACCAACGGACTGCGTGTTCATAAAAGTGCTGTCGCAGAGGTAAAAGTCGAACTGCTCCGTGGCAGCTGCACCGTTCCTGGTGGTAACTAAGACGGGCGTAGCGCCCTGACTATTGACGATACCGGCCTCAGCACCGCCAGCGAATTTGATCGCGAGTGGGGCAGAAGCAGACTTCCGACAGGTGAGGGAGGGCACGATAGCTGGCGCTGGCGCGGCAAGGCTGGTCGCAGCAGAGACAAGAGCGAATAGGGATAGAGCAAACATCTTAAAGTGCTGGCAAAGAGGGCTACTGCGGCACGAGATGGTTGTCTTATAGAAAGTATGAGGCGCCGAAAAGAGGTTGAGAGCTGTTAAGTTGGAGCTGGAGTTGGGATTCTGACCATGGTAAAGGCCACTTTATATATCCCACATTGGCCCTCAAAGCTGCGCGTCAGATGATGGCATGACCGCATGTAGCATCTCATAGCAAACCCTTCGTCTCCAGGGCACCGTCTCCTTCATCCAGCCCTTGACGATAATAATAGCACGGCATACGGAGACCCGATCGACTACGTCAGCAGAGGAGCTCTTCATGCGATGCAAGCACGTTCCTACATAAATCAAAGGTCAACCCAACAGCGAGCATGTGCCACTGTTGCATACATACCGCTGCTCCGACAACCGAACGCGGACCTTGTCGTGATCCGCGGCCCGAGGATCACCCCAGCGAGCGCGGCTAGTCACAGTCTCTATGTATGTATCCATACATCGGGCTTCAACTTTGCACGGCGCTTCCGCCGGCTGAGGTGTTCAAGTGGCGTCGGAGCTGCGATGCTCAACTCACACGCCGCAAATCCGCACCAGCGGTAGGTGGCAGATAGACCGCACCAAGAGTCGAACCATCAAGATAGGGTTGGATCGACCCCTCACCAACTAGTTTCCTAATGCCAAACAAAGGCCACGGCTAACTTCCAGTTGCTCTCCAAGAGCCCCGCCTGATGAAGGACGCATGTCCCTCGGCCCATTCAATGGAAGACCGTAAACTATAGTATGTGCTTCGCATCAGGAGCTTTCGACGCATTGTACAGTAGGTGGGAGGATATCGCAGGCAGTACCAATGCGGGGTATAATACACATTGACAAAGTACAGTAAACGAGTTTGGTATTCATTGCGCGGCGCCCGCGGAAGGTCGCGCAGGGCATCGCAGGAAAATGCGCAACCACCTGGCAGGGCACGCTTGGTTTCCTTCAAAAAGAGTTGGCATCTCCTTTCCTTCCTTCCATGATTGCTTCGCCTTTACCTACGCGTCGTCAACGTCTTCCTGGGCATCGCGGCACATCCAGTTGGCCGTCGAGCTGGCGCTGCTCAGCCCCTGCTCGTCCTCTGCATGGGGAGAGATGCAGCCGAACGGCACAGAGAGCAAGATTGGCGGCTGCTGCAGCTTGTCCGAATGGTGTCCTGCGCTCACCACAGCCAATCGCGAAACATTGTGTGCAGCCGACGAGCCTTCTTCCGCTGTCGCATAACCTGCATGCGAAGATTCGGGCGCCACGTGGCCCGCATCGGTCAAGCCTGCAGATAGAGAGGCCAGACATGTGCCAACGCTCTTGCTCTGTGGAGCGTCCTTGTCGCCGTTCGCAATAGAATTGCCATTGGACCGGGGCACGTCTTCGATGTGGGCACCTTCATCCAGAAGCCAGCTCGCCACATTCGCGTGATTCTCCCCGCTGTGTTTAGAGTCGCTTCTGGGATCGTACGCGTCTGCCATGACCAGAGTGGTCAATGGTTTGCCTGTGATTTCACTCGGCCCTTGCAAAGTCAACGTCAATGCTGGTGTACCAGCTGGTGCTTTCGCCTCGTCGCCATTTTCTACCGTTTCCTCAGCTGGAGGATTTACAAACTTTCTTCCTTCCGCCGCTTGTCCTTCGATCTTTGTTTGGTCGTCGGCCTGGTCTGCAGATCTTTCCTCCGCAGCCTGGATCGTTTGTCGCAAGAGAGCTCGACATGCGTCTGCACTTTCGCACGCCCTCATACGCACCTCAAGCTCGAGTAAGTTGCGCCTTACATCACTAGAAGCATGGCTTTGCAGCTCATCTGCCTTGGGAGAAGCAGGTGTATTGCTAAACCCTGGTGCCATCGCCCACGTCGCCGATGCGGTGGCCAGTGTCGGTGTGAAAACGCCAGTGCCTGCGTCTTTCGTTTGAACAGAAGGGTTTATGGCGGCCGGTTCACCGAGAGACAGAACGTCTACACCGCTGCGAGAACTTTGCTGACTGCGTCGCGAAGGGGCGACATACTCCTCCTTCGAAGCATGAGTGGCTGGAGCGATGGCCTGCGTGAGTGATTCGCGCTGAGTCGTCTGCTGCCCTTGCGAGTCTCGCCAGGATCCTCCACGCATTTGAGACTGCATCTGTAGTCCAAGAGAAGATCGGCGGTTGTTGTAACCCCATGGAACGACCCTGCTGGTCGGATCGGTCGGAGTCATAGAGCGCCTTGGTGCAGGTGAAGATGACCGCACTGCCTCGCGAGTTGATAGCGAGTCAAAGGTGCTAGGAGGTGTAGTGTCTTGAGCAGAGGGAGCAGACACTTCTGACTGTGATGCCAGAGCAGCGCTGGCAGTTGTGATGGCAGCATCAGAACACGCACCAGCGGAGGCACGTACATCTTTCTCTGGCAAAGGCGGCAGGCCGCTAGTGGATGGAGTGGGAGGAAGGCTCGGTTGCTGGTGTTGCGGCTGTTTATTTAGCACTTGGTGCGAGCTGTGCGAGCCAGCCGTGTAGTCTGCCGAAGACGAATGCGAATGCAGCGACGAAGAGCTTGGCGGCCGGAAGGCCGTCACAGGGACACGCGTAGAGGATGTTTGTGGCGATTGGGCAACCTTACGGCCGAGACTTCCGCTGGCGGTGGTGAACTGCGCACCGATGCGCCTTGTCGGCGCGTGGAGGTCATCGAGGCTGGTATTCCAGCTTGTCCTGTGTGAGTCACTGCTCATGGTCGTAGTGCTCGATGCTCCAAAGCTTGGGCTCTCCGCCATAGGCGGCTTGGAGGTGCTGCTGAGCGAGCCAATGCTGTCGCGCACGTTCTTGCGCCCTCCAAAGATGTTGCGCATGCGGTCGCTAACTGAGCTGCGCGCCTTGCTAGCGGCGTCCAGCGTCTGCTGGCTGGCACGAGACTCGCGCCTTCCGAGCGGCGGTAAGTCCGGACCGCGATTCAGCAAATCGACAAAATCGCGGTTGGCCACGCCAACCTGCTCGCTGGAGCGCGCCTCCAGGCGGCGGCGGCTGGATGCAGGAGAAGATGAGCCAATGCTGGGGTCGGGGTGCACCAGATTCGCATTCACCATCGCCGCCACGCCAGCTGCCTCGCCCTCCTCCTCGTCCTCGTAGGTTCTCTCGTCGTCAGGTTCGCGCACAGGGCTGGCGATGGACAGGCTGCGCCGCGCGCCGGAGAGGTCCGGCGTGCCGCTTCGGAAAGGCGCACTTGGTAAAGGGCTCATGGCTCTATAAGAGCTGGGAGGCGCTATAGGGCCACGTACGGGACGCCCCGAGGGCGTACTGGAACGTGGCTGCTCGGTAATCGAAGAGGCAGAATGTGCAGCATTCGTGTCGAGCGCAGAGGGTGCCTTGCGGCCAAATGCCGCAGAGGAAGGCGGTGCATCAAGCGGAGAAGTAGGGGTCAAGCCTGGTCGCCTGCGTGCATTCTTTTTCGCCTCGGCATCCTTTGGCTCGACTTCAATCGTTCGCAGACGGTTAGGTGTTAAGGAAACCTTCATCGTCTGTCCGGACATCATCAGTGCCTCAAAGTCCTGGAACGCAAGCGGAGAGTAGAGGGAAAGGGGAATTTATGATCAATCGCAGCTCCCCAGGGCAGCACTGCCTGATAGCTGCAATTCCCACGCTCACATCTTCGGGGTCATTGCCGACAGCGACATCGGGCATGCTGTGCCTCGCATCCTTTTCAAGGAAGGCCTGTCGCACAGCAGCGGCATCGGGCGTGCCGCCTCCGTCCTTTTTAAAGCTCCCACGCCTCCTGGCGCCATTAAGAAACCCATTGCCGCTGATGCCCTTCTTGTTTCCTTTTCTCGTCGCGTCCTCTTGTTGCTGTGGCAGGCCGCATCTAGCAATAGCGCCGCCACCGCCGCTCTGCTGATGCTGCAGCGTCGTGTCGCCGCCGAACGAGGGACCCGAGGGCAGGCTGGACATGCTGGTGGACATGCTCCCGGTGCTGCTGTGCGCGTACCAGCTGCTAAATGTAGTGCTCTTGGGGCCGTCCTTGTCGCTGACGCTGCTTGCGGCGTTGTACTGGCCCATGACCGAAGCGACGAACGGGCCGGCGCTGGCACCGTCGAGGTGGCCGCCGCCGTTGGCAATGGCGGTCGAGATGGACAGCTCCTGCTTGGACATACGGCGGGAGAAGCGGGACACACCTGCTGCTTGCTCGTAGTCGGTCTCACTGCTAGGCACCTGCCAGGGTTTGGCGGCGCGCCACGCGTCGGCGTTAGCTGCGGCAGCGGCAGCAGCGAGGATGGCGTCGTCGTCGCCGCCGCCACCGTCGTGGCTGTCGCCGCCGCGCCGGCCTGCACTGGCACCGGAGCCGGAGCCAAAACCACCACTGACAACGCTGTTTCGCGCAAGGTGCGAGTTGCTGCGTGCGGCGACGCTCAAGCTGCGGAGAAAGTCATGCCGGACCTCCATGGACTTAAAGACCTGGCTCAGCATCTCGTCCTCTGTAATGGCAGCATAGAGGTCGCGGGGGCTGGCCACGTCAGAATTGTCGCGTTCGACGACGCGTGACACGTCTTGGAGGATCCTTTCGCCGACAAACTCGAGCAGCGTTGTCACATAGATGGCCACACCAGGTGTGATTGTCGCCACGGGCTTGCCGTCGGCAGACATTATGTGCTGGTCAGACACGGCGTTCGAGTCTTCGCGGTCGCCGAGGGTTGAGTAGATCTGGCAGCGTGTGCGGAGCTGCCGAGGGTAGGAAGGTCAATATCAGCTGCGTGGCAAGTGTGTTCGTGGAAGCGGTGCGAGGGACGAACCGCATTGTATGCGCTCTGCACGGGGAAGTGAGCGGTGCCGTCCCACCTGCTGGTGGCCATGAGACCGAGGGGCACCCTGCCGCCTTCTGCGCGCTTGCCTTCGGTATAGTTCCTCAGCTCGAGCTCAGCTTCGAGGACGGCATCCTTTGCGAGCAGGCTGTTGTTCATAACGCGTAGCATGCCTTCCGTCTTGATCCGGTCCGTGGCGAGGGAGCGAGCGGAGAGGAGCACGAGGAGGAGGAGCTCATCGAGGAGCTTATTGAGTAGAATCAGCGAGTCGGCCTGTATACGCGTCGGACGGGACTCGGAGATTATTGAGTTGGCGGAGCGGGCGGAGATGTAGCATGGATAGTCGTTGATTAGCATCGTTGACACGTGCAGCAGCGGGGCACCCGTTGCCAATGTTGGCGTGGTGGGTGCAGCTGAAGTGTATCCTCCTGCACTTCCGCCGTCTCCGATCGTCACGATGGACCCTCGTGAGCCGGGCTGTGAAGACACCATAACTACGGAAGCGAGCGAATCGACCCGCTAAACGCTAAATGCAACACGGCATGCACGCAGCTCCCCCCACCCTCTTGGAGACAGCAGCCACACGGCAAAATAAGCTACGGGAAACTGTGTCGAGGGTGCGCGTCGGTGTCATGGAAAGGACCCAGGGAAGGGAGGTGGTGTGGGCTTGGGCTTGGACTGGGGCTACGGGCCGGAGAAGCTGCTCCCGACCATATGAATCCGCGCGTGCCCGGCGGGGGCGAGAAGGGAAGGGAATACGCTGCTTTCTGCTCTTCTCTCTGAACTTCGGCGGAAGACACGTCACCGTGCTGTATTCGTGAATCCGAGCAATGGGTCTGAGGTCGCTCGCTTTCCTAGCATGTGCAGCCTTTTGCCTGGGAAGCATGCGGATGGGATGGTGATGGTGAATTCATTTCGTTTTGAACAGCGCGTGATGGCGCCAGACGCATGTTCTTGAGCAGGACGGCACTAAGCCTGTCATCCTGAGCCCGCACTGCGCCACCCAAAAAGATTTCTATTTGAGTTTTGTTAGACTCGTTCATTGCCCCACACTGCATGGGGTGCGTCACGGACAGGCAGGCAGGCGCAACCGCACCCCAACAGCAATCATGCACAAGTCAGCAACCCTACTTTATCACCGGGCATTTAGGTCGCGTCGTCTCATTTTGGGTTATAGCAGCAACCCCAACACGCGTCAAATAGAGAAGGCGCGTCTAGAAGCAACCCACCTCCCGAATTCGTTTGATGCATAGCCAGCCAGCCATATTGCATCCAACATGGCATCCCCCCGCCATAGGAGAGACACTCACCCGCCCATCGTGCCTTCTCATTACATGCACGCTCGCGTGCGCACTCATTTGCCATGACGGGTATCCAGCGCATCGCTCCCCCCGCCGTGCACCGCATCACCTCCAACCAGATCGTTCTCGACCTGCAGACCGCCGTCAAGGAGCTCGTCGAGAACGCGCTCGACGCTCACGCGTCCAGCATCGACGTCCGATTTTCCGACTATGGTGCCACATCACTCGACGTCGTCGACAACGGCACCGGAATCCCGCCTGAGGACTGGCACGCCGTCGGCCTCAAGTACCACACCAGCAAGATCGCTGCATGGACCGACCTGGCCAGCGTCGCCACGTTTGGATTCCGCGGTGAGGCCATCAGTAGCCTCTGCGCCCTCTGCCGCAGCGTCTCGCTCGCAACCACCACGCATAACGCCGGACCGCTTGCCACCATTCTACCCTTGAAACACGACGGCTCGCTCGACGTGCCGTCTGCACCAGATGGCCAGCCGGACCTATCGGCGCTGCCCAAAGTAGCCAGGCAGCGCGGCACCACTGTCTCCATCCATGGCCTCTTTGATAAGCTTCCTGTCCGCCGCAGAGAGTTTGAAAGAAACATAAAGCGCGAATATGCCAAGACCCAGGCCTACCTCCAGGCCTACGCCCTCATCAGCAAAGGCGTCCGTTGGTCCGTGTCCAATACACCCAAGGGAGGGTAAGCATTCGCCATCACCAAAAGTGCATCGTGCGTGCTCTACTGGCCTTGTTCTGATATGTATCCTGCCGCCCAAACAGGCGCAAACAAGTCGTCCTCACCCTAACACCTCCCCGTACGATGTTGAAAGCGGCACAGGATCCAAGCAAGCACCTACTAAGCAACGTCACTTGCCTCTTTGGACCCAAGGTGGCCAGCTCGGTCATCCCTCTTGCGCTGAACGTCGAACTTGCTAGCCAGCACGGCGATACCGGATCATCGGTGGGGCGCGGGCACCCTCCTCGGAAGAAGGCGCGTGTGGAGTCAACTAGCGAGTCAGACGAGGACGAGCAGCCTGCCGCGGATCCCGCAGACGGTCTCGACCGACGGAGAGGAACGCTGCGTATTCACATCACGGGTCTCATCTCACGCCCATCTTCCACCTTTTCCCATTCATCCTCCAACCGACAGTTCTACTACATCAACGGGAGGCCTTGGGACATCCCCGCCCGCCTTTCTCGCGCATTCAACGAAGTCTACCGTTCGTTTCACACCAACGACCAGGCCACCACCACCAACACCGCTGCATCTACGTCCACCCCTACGGGCACGCCCCTCGGGCGCTCCTCCTCCGCTTTATCCGCAAGCGCTGCCGGTCGCGTCGACGGCTCGACCTCCGGAGGGATGACCGCCGGCGGGTCGCAGGCCAGCGCCTTTCCCTTTGTGCTCGCCAACTTTGAGATGCCGCCGGACAGCTACGACATTAACATGAGCCCGGATAAGCGCACAATTTGGCTCGCACGCGAGAAGGAGGTCGCTGAGGCACTGCGCGAGGCCCTCGAGGCGCTCTACAAGCCCTGGAGGTCCACATTCGCCGTCGGTGCCGCTAGTGCCGGGGCGCTGAGAAGCGCCGGAGCCGCAAATCGGTCCGACAAGCGGCCAGGCGGCGTCAAAGGCACTGTGGATAGAGCAGTGCAATCCAATGTGCAGAAAGCGCGTCAGACGCCGACACGCCTTGCGTTGCAGCCAGTCGCCTCCGACGTAGGAGACCAAGGAAACTGTATCGAGAGTGACCAGACAGGCTATCCATCTGAAGCTGACTCACAAGATATGGACGACTTGCCAAGGCGCGCGCAGAGCAGAGCGCATAGTGACGCATCGCATTTGGGCAATGAGCCAGAAGCAGCAAAAGAGATGTCGCAAAACGAAGGGCATAGCGACGCTGCGCTGGTTAAAATGCAAAGTCATGAAGCCCCTTCTTCGTCATCTACGCCTACGACTTGGCACCCACCCCAAGAAGCTCGTTTGCAGGGCGGTGACGCGCGGTCTCGACCGCCAGTGCGGCGTCGCGAGTCTGTCCCTGACAGCGTGAGCCCTGCGAAACGCGCCGAAACGACCCTGAAGGACATCCTGCTAAAGGGTTCGCAAGGGAAGGAAGAGCGGACGTGGAAGACACAATCTTGTCTTGATTCCCGGGGGATCGATTCCGAGAAAGAGGCTCCGCCTTGCGACGAAGTGGCCATGGAACAGGACAGCGTCAACGTCGATGCACGATTGTCAGAAGGGTTGAGCCTGGGAGAGGACTACGAGCAGCTCCGGGAAGGCCATGACGAAGAAGTGCACCACTTCGCGCCACCGGCGAGCATGCGTGGCGCTCGAGCAAATGCACACAGTGGTTTGATGCTGGAAGAAGAGCGGCAACTCAACCTCGCCCGCTTGGATGACGTCAGCGCTGAGGAAGCGGGCGAACCGAGTCAAGAGGAGGTACTGCGTACCGCCCTCCCCCTTGAACAGCGCAGTATCGCTGTCGATTGGGGCCAAGTTCGAAAGAGGGCTTCGCGGTTGCGTCGTCCGAAAGCCTCAGAGGCTGTGTTCCCTTACCAACAGGAGTCGCATGCAGATGAGGAAACAGGTCGAAGCGATACAGTAGTCGCTGAAGGAGGGGAGCAAGCTGAACGCTCCGGTCTGACGTACCGTCCGCGCACCAAGATACACGGAGCTGGCGTGCACAACCAAGACGCTTCTGTCGCCGAAGGCGAGCTGAACAGGACGATTCATCAGGTCGATTTCTTGTATCGCATGACCATCTCTGGGCAGTTCAATCTCGCTTTCATCATCGCGCGGCGACTGGCGCGGCGAGACGCCGCCGCCGATGGCCAGGTCACAGGACAAGGCGAGGACGATGACCTCTTCATTATTGATCAGCATGCTGCTGATGAAAAGTACAATTTTGAGGAGCTTCAAAAGGTGACCAAGATCCGAAGCCAGCCTTTGATAGTGTAAGCGTCAGGAAGTGCACATCACGTAGAGCATGCGAGGCTGGGCTAACCGAGATTCTGTTACTGCGCCTGCAGCCCTCGCACGCTCGAGCTATCCGCTGCCGACGAGCTGGTTGCATTCGAGCACATGGACACGCTCAAGCACGACGGCTTTGACATTCGTTACGATGAAGATGCTCCGCCCGGCACACGTGTCACGCTCCTTTCGCAACCGGTCAGCAGAGGCACCATCTTTGGAATCAAAGACCTCGAAGAGCTGCTGCACCTCCTCGCAGACGTCTCACCTGGCACCGCCAAAGCGGCCAGCGTGCGCTGCAGCAAGGCACGCGCGATGTTTGCGATGCGTGCATGCCGGAAGAGCGTCATGGTCGGCAAGGCGTTGAGTCGCCGACAGATGACGGCCATCCTGAGACACATGGGGACCATGGAGTCACCCTGGAACTGCCCGCATGGTCGCCCGACGATGCGACATCTTGCGAACCTAAACACTGTCCCCATCTCTAGCGCTGCCCCAAGGCCGAGCTGCATGGCAGTACCAGAAATCAAGTGGAGTCAGTTTTAATGTCACCAAGTGTGGTGTGCAGCATGTCCGCCGTCATGCGAGGACAGACCCGACAGGCTTGTACGGCAGTAAACCTTTCTATCTGCGTATTGTTTGAGGCTTTTTGGCGCTCCAACGGAACGGAGGTTCTCTCAGGTACTCTACACCTTTGGCTTAATAGCGCATGACCACGGTCGTGAGCTTCTCATCAATTCCCAATCACCGTTCTTCTCCTCGATCCTTACGCATAGCTTTGACAAAGACTTGCATACAGGCTTGCATAGCCTGATGACAACATCCTTCGGTCCTTCCCCTTCCGTGTTACTGAGACGCAGGATCGATATCCGTCGGACAAAAAGTCCCAGACTCTAGCGTTTCAGCGTCGCTTTCCCGTACCCGCTCACCCTTATACCACCAGCTCGTGGGAGCCTTAGATGCTCACTCGCCGCCCCGCACCCACCATCAACAACCTCAATATCTCGGTTCCCCGAGCGCTCGCTCTTCGCTCCTCAACTACATGCGTGAGACATGGCAATGGCGGACCTCCATCTCACCCAACGGCTTGGCCCGTCAGAGCTTCGCCCCGGCTCGTCCGTGATACCGTGGCACTTGGCAGTTAGCTGCCGTCACAGCAGCTCGTCGGCCGCCTCCATCTTCAGCAGGATGTCAAAAGATACTCTGAAAGAGTCTCCACTCGATGTCCGTCAGGAAATGCGGGCTGTCTGCTCTGAATTTCCTAATGGGTACTTGTTAGAGAAAGGTCACAAGCAAGAGTATCCGCATGAACTGTTTGAGGCCCAGTGACAGGCACATGGATTGGTATCTGCATGCCTTCCGATCTTGGTTGTGCAGGTGGATGGTGCACAAAGTTAAGCTTGTACTCCTTCGCAATTTGCTAAATATGAGTGTCTACGGGGCTAGGAATCAGTGAAGCAACTACCATGCTACAGACCATTGCCGAGTCTGGTGCGTCTGTCGCTCGTGCTCCAAGTGGGTGTGTGATCGGCGAATTTCCTGACGGATCATGGCCGGATGACACGGACAATTCTTTCTTCGTGGTCGGTCAGCATTCACGCCAACATCTACCCAACATCTACCCCTTGATGCCAATCATGACTTTGCCAGCGAGACGCAAAAGGCAGATGGGCTACCAAAAATGAATCGACGGGCGGATCCTCTCCTGCTCTTCCGTCTCAGAGCCCAAAAACCGGGCTGGAGATGCTCTACCTCAAGTCAAAAGCGTCACGCAAGGGAACAAGATCATCATCCATGGAAGAAGGATCTGGACGTCGTCGGCGCAAATCGCTTCGCATGCGGTTCCCATCGTGCAGACAGCGAGCCCGGGACCAACCGCTTTCAGGTCACAGGGCAACTCGCTGTTGTTTGCACTATTTCAGAAGTCTCCCAAGATGCAACATGCTAAACCTGAGGTCTGCGAACTGATGTCAGGCGTGGAGATGCAGAAGTTCTAAAATATGGGCGGCAACATCTAAGACGCAAATGAATTGCGATTCGACCTTTTCGAGGACCTTGTGCAGAACTTCGTCAGGCAGGAAGGCCAAGGCCGCAAGATCATCTTACACTGCATGAACCCCAAACGCTGTTTGCTCGCAGGCGAGGCGCTCAGCGGCTACTCCGCCCGGCGTAGGGGAGGGCGATACGCTTTTGAGCCTGATGCGAATGGCAAGCCAATCGCAGCCATACAATCGATCCAACACCTGCTCGCCAAAGCATGGACGTTGCCCAAGGCGGCGAAACATTTAACGGTCGTTGCTGCGCCAATGTACGACGAGCGCTCGCAATCTGCAGGAGTATATGCAAATGCGCTCAAGTATATTGCGGCTGAAGCAAGGTACAAGGCATGCAAGACGGCGGTGACGACGCTCGGTAGAATGGGCTATGCGCGCGAGTACCATGTTAAGAGACACATCGAAGAGATGTGAATTGTTTTATTTCTCTTGGCGATGGACGATCTTGAAAGATCAGAGTGCCGAGATCATCGACAAATTCAGTATGAAGCAACCAGCACAGTTTTGTGCCGCGCTTCGTTTTCGTCACTGACAAGATGACCCCCAATTTCCTTGGAACATCGGTATTAGGGCTGCCAAAGAGCTACTGAGAATGGAAGGGGCAAGTTTCGTGTAAATATGGCCCTTTCCATTGCAAGTCCATATTGACCATACATACGAATGTGCATAATGCGCGCAACAGAAATTTAGATACGTTTTTACCTTGGGACATCTACGACGCCATAAGCATGTCAGCGCCCTACTCCTACTGCACATTTGAAGAGTGTAGACAATGGTTCTTCGGAAGTGAGGGAGTTCGCACCGTCAAAGTCACAACCACACGTTTCTCCTGTGCCCATTTCTTTCTTCTTTTCTTGGCCAAGCGCTTGTCACAGACCGTAACCCGCGTTGGGTTTTATAGTGGCTGATGGGCTGTTGAGGCAGGCTGAGACAAAAAGCTTGGTGGTGCACGAGCAGTCATATGGCACACCACATTACATGTTTGTGTACGAGAAGAGAACCCAGGTCCAAGGAGTGGCGAGGACCTGCTAGGAGCGGTTAGGACCCACGGTGAGGCGCAAGAAGCGGAGTGCGAATAGGACTCTTCAATTTGATCTGTACATCAAAAATACACCACCAGTTTGTGCACGGCATGCAATGCACGCGGAGCCATCGTTCCACACAGATGCCTACACCACTACAGTCGACCAATGATACCATGAGGCCATGCGGCTATTAGGCAATGAGGGGATTGGGCCTGGGGGGAGGAGGGTCAAGCTGATCATGCATATGTATAATGATAAGGACAAGCTCGAAGATTTACGCACATATTGAGAGCCATGGGAGGAATGCTGGCGCTGGAGGCTTGAGTCCTGCTTAAGGCTGGACTAGGCCGAAGCCTGCGGGCCGTCGGGGCTGACGACTTGATACGTACGGAAAGGTCCTGAGGAGCCCCTCGGAAGAGGAGGAGATTGAAGCTGGGCTGCTGCGCTGTTGGAGGATGGAGTGTTGTGAAGGACGGGAAGGAGCATATGATTATGCGTTCAGCCCGGGTGCGGCATGGGCCCTCCACCGGCAAGTCCACCAGCGTCTCTCATCTCCCGTCATAACGCCCATTCTCAACTATGCTATATGCACATGTATAATCCTCAGGCTTGTATGAGCCTAGCCATTATCGGTGTCTTCTGGGAGTGCCTCTGCACTTCTAGAGATGGGTCTATTGTGAACGCCGCCAGTCGTGACAGAAGAGGACTTGAGCGCTGAAAAGGCATGTGGGGCTATATCCCTCGGACCCGGCGGCTCGGACTCGCCGGACCGCCGGCATATACTCATCGCTTTGCCACACGACACTCATTCTGATTGCAGCCGCTCCCTCGTTTCGTCTTGAGGTATCCAACTCGGCGTACCTGCGCCGTGTTTTTGTAGTTTGATTATCGGCCAGAGTCGTCCAAGTATTCAATCAGCATGACGCACGGGGGCCAACTGCACAGCGCCGGCTCATCTATGTACACCATTATCCATACACAAATATATGTTTGCATACAAATGAAGCGCTACTAAACTTATGTAGATACCAGACCAGTCATTCCAGAGTGCTCTACGCCCAAACACGGAGCTAAAGCGCTGAAGCGTTGAGGATAGAACAGGCTATGGAAGATGACATCTCCAGACCTACGATTCTGACTGCTTTCTTTTGTTTATGCGCCTCATCCGATACAACAGTGGGAGTGGAGGGGCGCCCGACTATGCATATATGGTGACGCTGATGCGCTACTGGCACCGGGCACGTCCGCCGTGCACGTTGTGAACACCATTGGTCTGCAATCTAGACCCTCATGTCCCATATCTTAGAATTATCCAAGAATGCCAGAGACCGTCAGCACCCGCCTTGTCTGATAGTTCCCTGGTTCTGCCGCAACTTTTGAATCTGCTGCCCAATGTGTGACCCCCATCTGTGAAATACTGCGTACTTCATGTAGCGACGGAGACGGCAGGTCAAGCTAGCTCAGCCCGTCCAGAATGGAACTAAGGTGTCAACATGCATATTCATCGCACAAGCCGTGCTTCTTTTGATATACAGAGAACATTGATGTCCTCTTGCAAAGCAAGCCATCTCCCCACCTTTTTCCGCGGCTCCTACATGAAAACATTCTTTGCAGAGCTCTCGTCTGCATCACATCCTCGTCGTTGGGCTACTCGCACGATTCACTTTTCGTTCCCTCTTCTCCTCATTCCCCCGCCTTCCCCAACCCTGGAATTTCCTTGATACATATTCCATCATCACGCTGGTCGAGGTAATATTCCCCTCTTCTCTCCATTCATAGCACCAAGCCGCCGCAATGCTTCTCCATATTTCACTCTGCCTTTGCCTCTATTTCGCTCGTGCTCACTGCAGCCGGCTTGAACAGGCATGCAGCTCCCATCTCCTTCCGCTCTCAATCACTAGGGCGTTCCTCACGCAGGTCGCCGGTCTTGTCCGGAACACGACGGAATGTGTCCGGAGAAGGCACCATCCCAATTGTGCCTGACATCGCACCTTCGCTCGATCTCTGAAATATTATCGGCGTGCCATTAGTAGCTCAAGCGTCTACGCTGGTCTCCCCTTTGCATCCACCAAGGACGAAGCCAAAAATCTCGAACACGAAGTCAAAGACGCTGGAACTGTTGCAAAAGATGTCCGGAAGCCTGCGGTGAAGGCCGCAGAGCCTGCAAACCCGCCAAAAGGCGCTTACGGGCCAAATGATGCTGAGCCGCTCAAGGCTGCTGTGCCACCAAAGGCATCTCCTGCTGCTGCAAAACCACTTGAGGAGGAAAAGCCTAAGGGAAATGTTGTGAAAGCAGCTGACAAGGTTAAGGATCTCGTGACGATCGCATCAACCGTGGCCGGCAGTGCCCCTTTGTCCAGTAAGAGCGGCTATTCTGGATCCGCCTCTTCAGCTTCAGCTCGGGATCTTGCAAACCAGCGACCCAAAGCCCAAGCCTGCCCTTAGGCACAGGCCCCGCGCCGGCTTAGACTAAGATTCAGGCCAGCCGCCGAAAAAGACGGAATAAGTTGCTGCCAAGATACAAAATGGCTTCAAATAGTTGGGTCGGAAGGGCACGCAGGGATTCCAGGCGGCCGTTAAAAGGATCAAACAGGTATTCCAAAAGGTCGGCCATGGGTTAAAACCGGCGTACCGAGGCGTCAAGACGATGGTCGCGGACTGGATTCACGACACCCAGGACTGCTGCAGGAATGTTTTCCACACTAGAAGGGCTGAAAAAGTATTTGAGATGAGTGATCCACAACGATCAGGCAAGTCTCTGCAATCGATCGCAAACATTGACGCAATCGTGGCTTGGGGGTCACAAGCGATTGGCAAAGCTGGGCGTGTTGGTATCAACGTTACTTCGGCCGTGGAGAGGTCAGATCGACACGGGGCCATGTGAGCCTGATATCCTGTCAAGAAGCTTTCCCGTATGCGGCATGCCAGTTTCCATTCGACATCCTGCATATTTGAAGGCGTCGGCATGAAAGCAGGACGTACGCAGAGCATGGCCGGAATATTGTGGCTTTCGTCCATGGTGCCTTGCCTCTTCTCGCGTGGTGTGGGAGGCGCCATAGTGCACTCTGTCGGCGATTTGATTGCACCAGCTCTTTCAGCTAGTCGATACTCCAGCCGAATATGATCTGAGGTATGCAAGCCTCTATACTATGATAAGGATAGCGAAAATGAAAGCGAAGAAGTATTTCCATCAGCACAGACGAAGCGACACTCATGGGAATCCTTGGAGACCATGCCGTGTGAAATGGGGAGAGTGAGTCTCGTTCCGCCCAACCGCGAAGGTCTTGCAATCGCGAGCTGCGACTTGTATGAGAGACTTGACTTGTTGCTGCATCATCGCACCTCTTTCTCAACTTGGCATAGGTCGTGCTCATCCACGTCCTCTTCTTAGCCGGTGGAGACGTTGCCTCGACCCGCAGCAGCCATGTCAGACTTTTACGTGCGGTATTAGTGAGTGGAATCGGCCTCGGCTGGCGCCTCCACCGAGTCCTTTGTTACTGACCAGAGATCCACCTTTACTCTCGCCCTCGGTCCTCCCTTCCACTTCCTGGTCTCGTTCTTGCGGCTTGCTTTCACCTTTACATTTGCTCTGTGCCTTGATTGGTTAGCTCCGGTCACCACGGGCAGCATGGTCACGAATTCCTTGAGTTTGAATACAGCCGAGGGCGGCTGAGGTACGCGAACAACTCTAACTACCGCAATGACGATCTCATCCGGAAGGAACTTTGGGTTTCACCACTCATGGTCGAAGAACTGAAGCGAATCGTCGAGGAAAGCGAGATCATGAAGTGAGTAACAAATGGCAGGGCCGACAAGCCGCAAGAAGAACGCTGGACTCCAGGTGCAGGATGATCCATTCGTTCTTAAATATCGCAGTCACTGATGACGACACTTCCCATTTTCTTATCTGCAACACCTCAATATAATAGGGAAGATGACGTCAAGTGGCCCAAGAAGAACATTGTCGGGAGACAAGAGCTAGAGGTTCGCCTCGGCAACGATCACATCTCGTTCGAGACAGCCAAGATTGGATCGCTTGTGGATGTGCAGGAGTCAGATGATCCAGAAGGTCTACGTGTTTTCTACTACCTCGTGCAAGACTTGAAGGTAAGGCGATGTGCACTTTATAGAATGAAAATCTTATTGAATACGAGACTATGGATGCTGATGACAAGAATTATCTCGCTTGTGCCCTCAGTGCCTCATCTTCAGCTTGATTAGCCTGCATTTCAAGATCAAGCCGATTTAAAGACGCCTTACTTAGGTGTGCAAGATGTACTTACTTTCCCCTTGTATTTGTACGGGCTGAAACGGGGCCACCCCACCCGAGCAATAGATACAGTTGCTGAATGGAGAAGTCAAACAAACTCTTGGGGGAATGCAGCTACACTTGCCCATGCTCCGCTCTGCGACATTACAGCATCATCCCTCTAGCGCTCAGGCTCCCACGTGGTGCACTACCCTCTGTACGTTGGTGACGCGCCAGACTGGACTCAGGCATCTCGCGCGGCACGTCGACGCGATCCACCGCCACCTTGGCCTCCTTCCACTGCTCCAGGCTCTAAAAAGCAATGAGGCGCGCATCCAAGTTGCCACCGATCAGTTGGTTGAATTCGACGCATCTTCGCCCACGCGAGCGTGCCCAGACTTACAACTCGACAGTACTCCCGATGAATCTTAACAAACTCGATCGCCATCTCTTTCATATCGGCGACCTTGTGCCGCTGGAAGCGGTCGAGGTCTGCTTGTATCGTCACCGTAGCGTACTGCAAGTCTTTCTCCGTGAGAGCGAGCGCCTCTTCAAGCTGCGTGCAGAGACAAGCATGGACAGGGGTTTGTTGTTGAGTGCACAAGCTACGCCGCAAGAAGAAAGGCATCACTTACCTGTGCGATGCTATCTCGAAGCTTGGCAATGCTGTTCCTCCTAGTCGCCTCGGGATCAACATCCATGACGCTCTGGAATGTATGGCTCAGCGCTCCGAACAAACCGTAGCCGGAGGAAAATCTCTTGCTGCTCCTCAAAGCTGATGAACTTCTCGTCGCAGCAGCCAATGGCAGGGACGAGGAAGTGGAAGCTCTTGGATGGTCGATCGAGGAAGTTTTAAGTGGAGAAACAGCGGCACTGGCGGGCTCTGAGGCGGAACCTGCACCTCCGGCACCGACCCACGCGTCGGGTTCTTCGGCGGCAGCTCCGTACAAGGAGCTGCGGCCCCACACACCGGCATTGACCGAATCCCTGGCACCACCAGCCGCACTGGCACCTTGCGAGCTGGCGGCGACCGCGGCATCGAGCCCTGCCCGCCCACCCCGCTCGAGCGCACCCGTCAAGCGGCTGGCTTCATTTTCAACTTTTTCGAGGTCCTCAAGCTGAGCACGCTTCGCTTCGAGGGCTTCCTGCGCATACTCAAACTGCAGATGCTTCATGTGCCGCCATTTGAGCAGCTTTTGCAAGACGCCGGCGAATTGCGCATACTCGTGCAGTGGCTCTGTAAATGCGATCTCCCAATCTTGTAACTACAGAGCAAAGAGCATATCAGCGCGTGCATTCAAACTGAGGCATGGAACGCAGCACACATACCATGTGCCCTGTGGCCACATACGACGCATCGGCAGCCTGACCGGTCTTTTCGATCGCGTACGCCAGCTCTCCATGCTCGCTGAGGCTGAATCCGTTGAGCACTGCGCCAAGCTCGGCATAGTCTGCACCGGCCTCGGTCCACCGCTTCATGGTCCTCCGGTTGACCTTCTCCATGTTACCGGTCAAATGCGAAGCAAAGCGGTCAGTAAACGCCTCACTGTCGAGGAAGCGCTGATTTGGTTCGCGCAACTGGGCGGAGGAGGACGGTATTGGGAGCACTTGATATGCGTACGGGGCATCTGGGTCCGCCGGGTTTGCCGGTGGGGCTTTCAGATTGCTCTTGGGGAGCATAGAGATCGGGGGTGAGGCAGCGATCTCATGCTATCATCCGACAAGCACACCAGCAGTTAGATTGGTAAGCGGCGGGGCACCACGCACAGAATGACAAAAGACGACCCTCACGTCGACTCACCCACTGATGCCGCCCATCGATGAACTTAAGGAATACTTGACTCTGTCCAAGCGTGGGATGCTTTGCGACTCTCCGCAGAAAGCTCTGAAGCATTCTCCGCCGTCGTGCAATGATGATTGCGTCTTCTTTCGCCTTGCTCTGCTTGACCGCGTAGTCACCCAAGCTGTGCTTGTCTGGAATCGGGGGAACAATGCTGACGGGAAAGAGCTTGACAAGCGCTTCCCGGAACGCCTCGAATTCGCTGTATCTGCGCTTGGCTTCGAGGGAGCCGGAGCGGATCACATACGTGATGAACGTCGAGGTGGTGTGTCCATCTGTGGACTTTTGTGCATCGACGATTTCGACATGCACCGGTTCGTGCTGCTGTTGCCGTGCGCCCGTCGAGCCAGACGAGCTTTGCCTGCTGGTGTTAGCTGCAGGACTATGACCCTGTCCATCATCGACATAATTGTATGCAGAAGGAGCTTCGGACGACAAAGTAGACGAATGATCATCAGGTTGGACGCTATTCGGAGTTAATAGGGATGCTGAATGCGCCTTGATGCTCGCGTCACCCCAGCCATCCTCCTCCTCGACATCGTTGCGCTTGGCAGTGCATGCCGCCTGCTCTGATTTTGCGCCGTCTGCGTGATTAACCTCCGCGCCTGCATCAGCATCGGAAACTTTGGCTTGAGCCGCTGTTTCAGGTGGTGCAGCTGGGCCTGTCCCTGCGCCCTCAGCATCAGGGTCGCTGATCTGGATCGGAATGATGCGCTCCGAGTTCTCGTCTGCCATGAAGGGCGGGTGTCGCTTCGCCTTTGAAGCGAGTGCTAAGCGAAGGATTTGTGCAAATGCGGAGGAAACGCAGGCCAGTGACAGCAGCGACAGACAAGGCAGCCTGACATCGAACCTCGATGGTGAGGCGGTGAGGTGGTAAGCTAGCTAGCGGAGACCTAATGCGATCGATGATGCTGATGGGAGATATATATGCATGCACGCACGCACACACTCGAACCAACTAGTGCGCGCGACTGCCACAAAGCGCAACAGTTGTTCCGCCCTTGCACTCAGGCCAGAACCCTCTGCGAACAGGGAAAATAGTGCGACCGTGCCGGTGGGTAACACGACAGCACACGCTTTTTGGGACGGTCTACTTTTCCTTTTCGCTGAGAAGGGATAAGCCCAATGCATCACAGATGTTCGAGTGAGTGAGAGAGACCCTTTGCCGCGGCGTACCGGCATGCGGGTGAAGGCAAGACGGACGGCGACAGCTCGCTCTATTGACATCTACCGCAGCTACCTCCCCTATACTCTCCTGCCCTCCGTCCATACCACATGTAGACAGACATTAGGTGAGACGGAGGGGATGCGTTGTTGTATCTGGAGTCAGATCATCACATCGCTCGCTGGGCTGGTTGAAGCAGTAGTGCACAACAGGCTCTCATCCGTCAAAGTTCCAAATAATATTCACACATCGTGACCAACCTGCTTTGAGCACGTGCCACATTTTGTGGTGGGACGACAGTAATGCCTTGCCAATGAGAGCGCTACATGCAAGCAGGCAAATAGCCACATAGCTCTGCAACCATGAATTGGACAGCGCCTTCACGATGGGCGCAAAATGGATAGTATGCGTGCTACACGCAGGCTCATGAACTGGCGCAACAAGTCATCCTCCCATCCTTGCAGCTTTGAAGCGTGACACCTTCTTGGGCGGTGGCGGCGAGCCGACGTCCTGCGCACCTTGCGGGACAGGAGGCGATGCACCCCGACGCTGAGCAGTCCTGGCCCTTACGACTGGTGGCCGACCGCGCTCAACAACAGAGCCGGCAGCTGCAGTCTGTGCTTTTCTTGCGTGCGCTTCTTTAGCCGGTTCCTCATGTTCGTCTGAGACCTCACCCTCCTCAGCAGTAGCGCCGAATCCAAGTCTGCGCCTCGCAATCTCAAAGAGGCGCGCATCGTCCTCATCGCTCTCCCCCTCGAGCTCCACGCCTTGTCTAGAGCGCAGCATTTGCTCTGTGACTGGCGCCCCGCCAGGAGCGAATCGCACGGGTGCCAGCTGTGGAATCACCATCACGGGCCGCCCTGCGATAGTCGCCCCATGCTGCTGCCGCTGGTCATGTTGTGGTTCTCGCATGTCCACATCCGCCCCGTCAGGTAGCTGCCCCACGGGGCCAAGGTTTTGCGCATCGCGCAAGAGATGCACAAGGTCGTGTCCGGCTGCATCGGCTGCTTCGTCTGCATCCGGAATACCCCATTGCTTCTGAGCCTGTCGTTCTTCTGGTTGCTGCTGTTGCTGGTGCAATTTACGAGTCTGGGCTTGTGCCAGAGTCCCAAACGCGCGAGCCATCCGATCCTGTTTGAACCGAGAGGCTTTCGGCTTGCTTTCAGAGGCACCGACGCCGATGCCATCCTCGCCCTCCACATGATCGTTCGGCACCAGTTCCTCTCCCTCTGCGACTGCATGCTGATTTCGCTTGTGCAGTGCTTCGGCGTGCTCGCCTTGATTTGCAAGCAGAGATGCCTTTGCAAGGGAATACTCTCGCTGCAGATCTGCCATCAGCATGTCGGCGTCCCAATCCAGATCGCTGTCAAAGTCGGGCTGCAAGTCCGCGAGATCATCGCTGTCGTACGAGTCTTCGTCATCATGATCAAAAGCCACCCCTTCTTCCTCGCCTTCATCGCCGTCGTCGCTATCTCGATCGAAATCAACCATTTCCTCCTCGTCTTCGGAGCTCTCCGTATCCTTGTCCCCAACATCAGCATAGAATCGAGCTTCTGTAACAGCTTCTCCAACACTGACGCTACCGAATCGCACAGTGGAAGATCCCTCCAGTCGATCGTCGCCAACGACCATTTCCCCCCCAACGCACACAGCACTGGAGCCATTTGGGACCCCTTTCGCGTGGCTTTCAACATCTGTGCTGCCAACATTGCCTCTGTCCTCGCCTCCACGCTGAGCCGCTTGCTTTTCCCGGATCTTCTCGGCGTACGCCTTGCTTGGTCGTGCGTGGGGTGCAGCCGGCGTGAGGCCCTGCGTTTTCCGCTCCCGCTCCAAAGGCTTGTCGGCGCGCGAGGCGTGCTCTGTCGCCGATATTCCTAGCGAGGTTCGCGGGTCATGTTGGGCACTGCTACACATGGAAGAATCTGCTTGCATGGCGCTTCCGGGCTTTTGATTGAGGAAACCACGCGCAAACGTGCTCGTCTTCGCAGCCTTAGCGACAGCTTCATTGTTAGGCGACGCTCGGAAAGTTGCGGCAGCACTTGCGGGAGTTCGTTCGACCACAGTACGATTGATCACAGGCTTGGATGGTGGGACCAATCTCCCTTCCGGGACACCAGAGCTGGCTCTCTGCGCGACGTCTCTCTGTCTCCTTCCTGCGCTTAGAGAGGAATTTGTCGAAGTGCCCGCCATGCCAGGCAGATCAGTACTGACAACACCCGGCCCAAGAAGCTCGACGATCCTTCGTGCTTCTTCCTCCACGCCTTCATCCTCATCCGTAGGTCGGTTTTGACTGCGACTCGAGTACTGCATGATTGCCTCTTCACGAGACTTGTGTGGTACACGTTCAGGCGACTGAATGCGCACACTCTTCCTCTTGCCCTTGCCCCTTGCTCCGCTTGGCGAATGCTGTTCCTGGACCCGACTCATCTGATCGTCTTCTGCTAGCTTCTTGTCGTCTTCGCTCCCTGCATCAGCAGCTTCAACCCGCTCGAGTGCAAGGGTACGCATCGCCTCGACAAAGCCACATTCGACATAATCGCTGGAGTGTTCCGCCGCGGGAGAGGAAGGATTGAGATTGAGGAAGCCGCGCTTGAAACCTGCGGCCCCGAAGGGCGGATTTGGAGTTCCCGGAGACGAGTGTGATTTCTTCAAAGCTGGTTTGGCGGGACGAGGGCGTTCAGAAGATTGCGGTAGGGGACTTGGGATTGTCACTGGTTCTGAAGAAGTCGACGACGGTCCTATGGATGGCATGTGGGCACCTTCGCGCCGTGAACTATGCTCCCTGGCTGGGCCCATCGCACTGACTGTGTTCTCTTCACTGTTCCAAGTCCCTGCATCATTTCCACTTTTGTCCTCATCATCGAGGCTACCACTGGCGATGCATGCTTCATCCTCGTCCTCGAGCTGATCAAAGACTGAGTCCATCCACTTCTTGCGGTCTGCAGGCGACGTCAACGGCTTCGGTTTGAAGGGTGCAATGATGTCACGAGCTCGCGGCCTGCCTTTCTCGCTGGTCAAGGGCTCTGAGAGCTTCTCAACTGGTTCAAAGAACGGTAGCCCTTCTTCATTCAGGATCTGCAAGGTGGATGCCCCGCCTCAGCAGGTGCAGTTCCCAGGGTCGCAAGAAATGACATCACACTCACTTCACCCCTTTCGTTCATCTGATCGTCAACTCGTCCAACCATGCCATTCGCCGATTGTACGGACCCAGGCTTGAAACCAAGCCGCTGCTGCACAGCCTCGCTTGCTAAAGCCAGCACCTCCTTACGTATGCTTTCGCGCTTGGCTGTGAGCCCGGCTCTGCGCTTGCTGAGGTTCGCGATCGCAGCTTCGTATGTTGGAAAGCTTTGTGGATCATGTTGCGATTCTGACGAAAATGAAGGAAGTGAGACCTTCCCCTGCCTCATGACGTTCCCGCTGAAGAAAGCAGCTGGTATCATTTTTCCCGAGCGCTTGGTCGAGAGCTGTTTAGAGGCATCAGCAGGAAAAGGAACATGAACCTGGTGGCCGCGGCTACTACCTGCGCGATAGGACGAGAGACGGTCGGTCATCCTTTGCGTTTCATCAAGTTTGGCCTGTACATCTCTCAGCTGATCCCGAAGTGTGATGAGAGGATCTTGCCCCGTCTGAGTCTCTCGTTCAGCCATGGCAGCAGCTCTCGAAGATGTGGCGTGGGAGGCTTGGTATGCTTCGAGAAGCGCATCGGCGGCCGTCTGCTCCGAGCTTCTGCTTTCCATACTGTCGAGCCTGCGGAACTGGAGCCTTCATTCACGAGCCCTTGAAGTTTCCATGAGTGATGTGAGAGGCATGCAGACAATGAGTTGAACGCAAGCCAGGTTGCTTGCACATGGTGGGATGCTCCCATCCAAGACATTTTTTGATGAGAGTGGCGACGGATAATGACACGGTGCCATCAAAATGCAAATGCACCGAATCTGAATTGGCATCGTCCTTGCTCCTCGCCTCATCTTTTGCCCCATGGTGTGCGTCATCATCGACCGGCGAGAACCAGTCGAGTTCTGTCCAACCCGTGAGTTCAACTGATCTGGCCTATGCTTGTCAGCCTGTGTAGGACAGACTGAAGGCGGGACGTGGTACAAGACCTCCACGCTCGATTGCGCAACCATCGGCTGTGCTTCTGACCTGACGTCTCTCGCGGATTTCTGCGCATGCTCGTCGATACACTCTCGAGTGAATACGCTGTTACCTCAGCAGTCCGCAATCGACGCAAGCTGGCCTACAGACTGCGCCCTGGCTCTGTGTGAATTCCTTTCACCTCGAACATCGCCAACAACATGTCCATTTTTCTAACCCTTCGCACCACATGGCACGCTCTTGCGCTGAGCAGTTGCGTGTGGGGATTCTCCAAGCTTTCTGTTTTCGAGGCGCTCGCCGAGGCCGACACTTCCCACGAGTACGGCGGACACTATCAATTCCTCACGGTCTGCTCCCTCGCTGCAACGGTCTTAGCCATGTCGGTTGCCCTGCTGCTTGACTTCCACGATGCGCTACTGGGTGGAGGAACTGCCAACAGCGGGCTGCGAGGGATTCTCACATTTTTGAAGGCTCTCACAAGTGTCGTCGCAATGCCAGTCGAAACTCTCGTGTCGATATTGTTTTGGTCGATCTTTACCTATGACCCTAATTTGGTAAGCATGCGCCGTGCGAAAATCTAAAAGATTGCTTGATTGATTTTCAGCGCATACAAACGGCAGCTTGTCCCGCCGATTGAGCGCTACGACCCTCAGAGTCCAGGGCTGGCAATAAAAGTACCCGTAAAGATTCCAATCGAGATCGATCTGGCGCTTCACGCCGCTCCTTCCCTCTTCCTGCTGGTCGACTATCTCGTCTTCAGTCCGCCATTTTTTAAGAGCATGAAGCCTGCTGCTGTCAGCACGACACTGACAATCGCATACTGGTTATTACCTCTTGATGCAGCGCCGTGACCCTGATTGTTCACTGACTGGATTGGTCTCTGCCCACTTTGGTCTTCCAATCACAGTGTCTGGGTGGAGCGCTGCGCGTTCAAGAACGGGCACTTTCCTTATCCGCTGCTCGACCCTCTGACTGACGCTCAGCGCTACGGGCTTTATGGCCTCTGCGCGTTGATCCTCGTCGGTGTTCTCACCGCCACACAAGCACTGCACACGGTGCTCGATCGGGATGTCTTTGAACGCACGTGGCCGCAGAAAGTGGAGGGCGAGCAGCAAGGGCTGCACGCCAAAGCGAAAGCGACAGCCAAGGAGGCATAGATATGGAGCAACAGACAGAGCTCCGCAGATGCACAATTTGTATGGATTCGGTATGTATTGCAAATGAAGACAATGACACAGAACGCGAAAAATGTAATGCATGGAGACGCCAAGCCAGAATATCCATAACTGGGAGGGTTAATATGCAAAGAGCACCAGCATGTATTCACCATAAAGCCGCACAAGTCTATGGATGACCGTGCACGATGTGTTTGTCCGGAATTAAGGTGTCGGCAAGCATGATACGTATGTACGCAAAAAGCTAGCAAGCACAGAACAGAAGGTTGGGAAGTATGGTCGTGCAGGTCGTTCCGTGCTGCGAAGGCAAACAATATTGGAATCGCAGCTCGCTCAGGCGGCTATGGTAGCATCTCGCCTGACCCTATCCGGGGCGAGCTGTTTGGGTAGCGCCAGCGTCTACATCAGGCTGCTCTCTGTTGCTGGTGCTGCTTCCACTACGGCTGGAATTTCTGGCGCTGGCGCTGTTAAAATTGCTGATCTGCGCCCCGTCCGTTTCGTCTGCCTGCTGCTTGGTGCTGTGCGCGCCCTCTGCTGCAAGGGTTCGTGTATGCGAGGGGCCTCGGCGCTGTACTTGCACCTTTGGCGGAAGCTTTCACCGTACTGTAAGAAGAGGAACGGCATCGACAGGCACACCGCGTGGAGGATCGCGGGGGTCAATGCACCCTTTTTGCGTTCCGAAGTTGGCGTACTGGTTAGGTTTGAATAGTGGTGATTCCATGTCAAAGGGCGACCGACACAGCGAGTTTGCCGCGAGCCTGCAAGGAATTCGATCGAGTCAGCCTGCGCTCGGTTTTTCGCCACTGGAAAGAGAGGTGCCTCAAGTGGAAGCTGCGAATATGACGTATGCATCAACAAGGTAATCCTGAATAGACAGGGGTTTCAGGACCATTCCCGCACCAAAGGTTGCGCGTCCGATGATCAGGACGACCCAGTGCGTCTCTGGCGCGTCGCTGTCGGCGAACCATGCGAGACCCATGACGAGCAGGGGCGCTCCGATCATTCTGCTGAACAGGCACGCCTCGCGCGTTGAAAACCCGCCATGCGGTCCAGAGACTTGCACGTAGCGCGCGCTGTCGAAGAAGCTGAAGTGAGCGCCAGGAGGATGTCTACCGGTGCGCCGAGGAAGGCAAGGCCGCTGATTCCGACGAACCAGTCGCGATTTTACTCGAAGACGATCTACCCAGGGCGGGCGGGTAAGCTGTGCACACACAGGTGTAAGTCAACCCTTTCACATATGGCACACCGCAAGTGCTTCCACGGCACCTGCCGGGAAAGCAATAAAGAGGCTGTACGGGGGTGTGTATACCATAGCCATGAAGATATTCAGCAGGAACACGATCGACTCAAGGAAGAGCCGCTCTCAGGGTGGCTGAGCGCGATGTGGAACTGCGTCTTGATGCACAGTCCTTGCCTTCGTCCATGCGCGACAGGAAGACCTGGCCGATCGCCTTGGACGCCTTGGACACCCTGACGGCAGGGTAGCGTAAGAACGCCGACGCATAGGCCTCTGAAAGGAAGAAACCGAATATGAAAAAGACGCTGCAGTGGAAGGAGGAATGCGTTAGGTCGTCAATATCCGGAAGCGTCTTTGCGCGCAAACGTAGTGTCCATGGCGAGCCGACGGGCCAGGCTTCGCGAGGCTGGTCACCCGATGAGAATTGACAAACAGCCGAGCGCTCATCACCAGCTGGCGCACTAGCCGAAGTAGCCACCGGTGATAAAGGTCAATCTCTGGGTCAAGAAACAGAGCAATAGCGAAGGCAGCCATCGCGAAGCTCGCTGCGGGTGTTAAGAGGCACGAAAGATTTGGTGAGCATGCTTGCGTGACGCAGGGAGAGGGGGAAAGAAGACGGTGTCGCGCTGCTCACCTCATTGGCAGTGAACATGTCCACCAGGACATCGCGTGCGGTCGTGAGCGTAACGAGCCGAATGTGACAGCGAGGAAGTGCACGATGAGCACTATTGCGAGGTTCTGTAAGAGGATCGTCACGCCTGACCATCGCGTACGGAAGACGTACGCGACAACAAACAGGGTCTGCCGACCGAGCCCTTCAGAGAGGGACGCACAACTCAGTGACCCGATCACAAATCCTAGGAACTGCCAAATAATGCAATGCAAAGAACATGCAAAATCGGTATAAGCCTGGCGCCCCTTTTCCAACGGAGCGCATAAATGCACTGAAAGACGCGCGAAGAACGAGACACCGAGCGTGTATTTGGGGACGGTATCTCCAGGGAACTCTTGGCGGATGCTCCCTATGGCTCCCGAGTAGGCCCTGGCAGCCTCCCCTACTCTTGGGCCTCGGGCAGCTAGTCGACTAGGCACGACTTCTTCCCTCTACCCTCACTGTCGTACGCAGCGGCGATGACGAGCTGGAACGGCGTGACACCGTGTTGCCATGGTTTAGGGCATAGCGTTTGCCTGGCGTGAAAGGTCCAGCTCGCGCGCGCCGCTGCTGGATGCACCGTAGCGGCAGTGCTCTGAAGCGCCACTACGGACAGCGCCTTCTTTCATTTGGTTAACTAGCTCCGAATGCGAATGCAGTGGCGCTGACATGCCTTCAAGATTGTGGTGGCACTGCTTGCCTTGGGGTGAATCGAGTGTGCTGGCGATGGGCAGGCAACGTCTCGATTCCGACTGAATTTTTCTTTCGATTTGATGGTGTATGTCTTGTACATGTGCACCGAGCGAGGCCGGGCCAGTGGGAATCGCCCTTGACGCTGTACGGACCGAGCATATCCATTCTTGCATCTATTCATTCAACCAACACCCACCCTCTTCACGCAAGCACTGCAAATTCGAGCCAACCACATAACAGACTAGAATAACGCGGCCGACACCGAAAGGCGCGCACACCAGAGCCACGTGCATTAGTTGCAACCCATGGCTGATCTGCTTTTGCACGCAGGGAAAGGGAAAGAGATAGATAGGTGGATGGGCGAGGCGGTGGCGTTTGGTAACGCGGTCGCGCTCTCCGTCATACTGGCTGACGTATTGTGCGCCGCCAGATCTCACAGAGAGGCCAGCGGGTGTGGGCACAAGCCAGGCACCCCACTGCACTGCAGGGCCACTGGGGCCAACGGGCAAGCCAATTAAATGGCGATGCTGGGGGGGGGACTCACACGCACACTCGCGTGCAGAGTTGCTGGAAGAGTAGGGTTGCAGTTATCTACGCACACACACTATATCGGCGACTTTGTCCCTGCCGCACGCGCAGCGCGTTCCTTTGTCGGCGAGTTGAAAGCCCTGAATATCCATTAACCAAAAACGCCCCCCCCTCACCAAAAAGGCGCTCGGCTCTCTCTTGGGTGACAGAGGCTGGGTGCTTGAAGAACACTGAAAGACATCGCGACCGGCAGCCAAACGTGCACGGACACGACCGGCTTGTTGAGGCGCACCTTGCAGTCGCAACCATGGCGAACCGAACGGTGCGCGATGCGCAGCAGATCCACAGCACCAACCCGCAGTTCCTCGTCGAAAAGGTGATCCGCGCGCGCATCTACAGCAACAACTACTGGCGCGAGCAGTGCTTTGCCCTCACCGCAGAGTCCGTAATCGACAAGGCCCTCGACCTCAAGTACATTGGCGGCACCTACGGTCCGCAGATCCCCAGCCCATTCGTGTGCTTGCTGCTCAAGCTGCTGCAGCTGCAGCCACAGAAGGAAATCATTCTAGAGTACCTCACCGCCGATGAATTTAAGTCAGCGCACGCGTCAATACTCTCCTCACCATGCACAGAATAGCAAGCTGACCACGCTCTTGCTTGCGCAATGTAGATACTTACGCGCCCTCGCCGCACTGTACGTCCGTCTGACGTTCCCATCGATGGAGGTGTACGAGGTGCTTGAGCCAATGCTCAACGACTACCGTCGATTACGATATCGAAACCAAGGTGAGCTCGACTCCACACCCAGAGCATCCACCCGTCGGCAGTAGAAACTGACGTGGATGCCATCCGAGCCCTCCAGGCGGCTGCTACACTATCACGCACATGGACGAGTTCATCGACGACCTCTTGACGCAGGAGCGCGTTTGCGAGCTCATCCTGCCGCGCTTGACACGGCGCGACGTGCTCGAAGAGAGTGAGGGCCTCGCACCGCGCATCTCCAAGCTGGAGGACGCGATGCTCCTTGCTCCCTCCGCTCTCCGCGCCGGCCGAGCGAACGGCACTACTCTAGGTGGCGACGACGACAATGACAACGACAAGGGCGATGGCGATGGCGATGAACGCGGCAGCAACAGCGATGACTCGCTCGTGCACGAACGGCGCGAGCGGCAGAGGCGACTCGAGCGTGCCGCGCAGGTGCGGCAAAAGCGTCGAGCTGAGCAAGAGCGACGCAGCCGCTTCGCGGCCGGCAGTGGTCGCGGTCGCGATTTCGCGGGTGCGGACGCAGGGCCCGCATCAGCAGCCACGCCAGGACCAGCGGGCGGCGATGGCGACAGCGATGGCGACGGTGATGATGATGATGCAGGCTTCGCATCGCAGGAGGGCAGCAGTGATGAAGCTGGAAGCCACAACCGTGCGCGTTTCGTCAGCCGCAGCCCTTCGCGCAGCGTCAGCCCGGATCGCGCCGGCTCGAACGCAATAGGAGGCACAGATCGCTCGCGCTCAGTATCTAAGTCGCCACACAGGCCCAGCATATCCTCGTCAGATGGGTACAGGTCACGCTCGGCATCACGGTCGCCTGATAGATAGGCGCGAGAGCGTGCGGATGTGTTCCGTACGCTCTCCTAATCCTTCGTCGGGCATGCAAACGCCTTCTGCCGCATCCGCAGCAGTAACATCCTACAGGGGAACATGTCCCTCTGCGACTTTCTCTTACATCGCATTGTCATGTCATCATTGCTATTCGTTGCTATGACGCGCAGAGGCGAGGGAGGAAGCTGCCTGCATCATTCCAGCGATGCCGCCCCGGCGAGCGCAGTATTGTACTGCACTGCCGAATTCCCGTCGCCATAGCAGCGCTGCCCACATGAAAGAGTGCGTCTAGAGGGACTCCATCTGCAGGACGACCTCGTCGAGCTCGCGTTTGGAGCTGATGTACTTTTCCTGCGCTTCCTCGTACTTCTTTTCCCACGCGTCCCGCTCCTGCACGAGTGATTGCACTTGGCGCTCAAAATGCTCGGCCTTGACATCAACCAGGCGGAGTCTAAGTCGAGTATGGCAGGTCAAAAGGATGGAGGGATCCACCGCCAGAGTTAGCGATCATTCAGCATAGGAAACGTGCTATGGGCAACAACCGACTCACTTCTCTGTGGTCTCCCGGAGGTTCTTCTCGCTGGTGTCCAGCTCGCTCTCGAGCAGCGCGATCTTCCTCTGCAAGCTATCTGCCATTCCCTTGCTGCTCTCGCCCTCTGCTGCGAGGCTCTTGTGCTCAGTCAGCTTGCCCTCTGCTGCCTCGAGCTGGCCTTCGGCGACGGAGAGCTTGTGCTGCAACGAAGCGATCTCCTGGTCGTTCTTGAGCGACGCATGCTCCAGCTCCTTCACTCGTGCTTCAGCGGTTTCGGCACGCGCAATAGCAGCGTCCGCTTCGACGCGCAGGGCGTTCAGTTTCTGGTAATAGACACCGCAGAAAAAAGGCGTCAGCACCAGTTGCACTTTGTCCCATGTAGTTCCGTTGTCTCACCTCTCTGATGCGGTCCTGGAAGAAAAGAGAGGATGAGACAAACATCAGATGAGATCAGCGAAAGATTCAAACGCCAAAGACAAGTCCAAAGCGCCGCTTTCAGCTTTGATGGCATCCTGCAGTGTACCATGTGGAACGGGACAATATACTGCGCATAGCAACCTTGACATTTGTCTGCCAACCAAGCGCCATGTGAGGGGTATGGGCAGTCCTCTCTTCCAGGATCCATCAAACCGAGTGCCATGTAAGCCTGTACCCTCCTCCTCGAGTGCCATTCGACTGCGAAAAGGCTACGACAGCACCCGTGGTCGCTCTGACGTGAGGTTAGTTATTATGGCCCTCGGTGAGCTGGCAGTAGGCAACTTGGCCGATGCGTTCTCCAACGCAACGCCCGAAAGCCACTTTCCATCGGCAGACCCAAATCCATGCACTCCCCCTCGCATAAAGCCAGCAGAACCAGAGCGTCAGCTGTGGCTGCTTCCTCCTACAGCCTGCCCTGTTGGAGATCTTTCGCACGCTTTCCAGGAGTGGCCGCCGCCAACGCACTAGCAGCAACACCAGCGCGACCTTCCCACTTTTCCAATGACTTACCATGCTGGCTGTACTTCAGGCTTCCTCGATCGGACTGTTCATACCCGACTTGAAGAGACGCTGATCCGTCCGATGAAAATGGAGTGAATCCCACAAGAAGGAGCAACAGTCCACAGAGAGAGCAACACCTTTGCGAGACTGGAAAGGCAAGTTGCCGCCAGCCATCCAGCAAGTCAGCATCACGGTGCGCGGACAGTGGCGCAGTGCCCAAACACAACATGGTCCAGGCGCGCGCGCGCGCATGTGGCACACCCTCGCACAGGCACACATGCACAGGCGCGCAAGCAGCGCACGGATGCACAGACAAGTACTTCACCCCGCCCTCCTTTAGCTGTCGGAGTCAGGTTACGAAGCCATACAAGCTTACACGGCTGCGCTGACAGGTGCATTGGCGATTTGCGAAGGGTTCAGCATGTGCTGCTAGCGACATCGCTCGGGCCTGTGCAAAGCGATGCTATCTTCAGGGTGGCAAAGCTGGGGAAATTTGCCTGGGGGCGAAATGACAGGGCAGCTCGCCAGATGAAATCCAGGGCAATCGCGCAGCCACTGATAGGATGAGGACGCTAAAGAGTGACAGGTATGTCGAATAAGTCTTGAGCAGACGATACACACAACCATGCTGGGAATGACAGTGCTCTAGTCACTCAAAGGAGGATACTACAGGTCCCTCCTGAAATAGCTCTGACTCGGACTGATCGGCACCGTGGGCCCTGCACTGACGCGTCGCTCCAAGCCCTGTGCCTGTGTAGGGCGGCCGAGCGTGGCGCTCATGCCTGTTGCCCCGATGTTGTCACCAGTATGCGAGTCCAAAGCGGACGGCGACATGGCTGCAGTGGAGGGGGAAGATGTTGCGGGCGTCGTTGTCATCTCCGTCAGCCGTACTGATGGCGGCCGGGAAATGGATGCGCCGCCGATGGCTCCAGAGGATAAAAAAGATGCATCTGCTGGATTATAGCCGTCGTAGCTGACTCGTTGCTGGTGGGCGTACTCGGCGCTCTGCCGCTCGGAGCCTGCCGCTGGTCGCCGCCGTGTAGAGAACCTGAGCGACTGGTCGTTCATGTCATCGTCTGCAACTGTTCGGTCAGGTTGCAGTAAAATGTTGTGCAGGCTGGCTTGTGATGATTTCGCAAATGGTAATGATGCGTACTGAAGATAACGCAGGTCACACGTGCTTTGTTAGTGCAGCTGCTTGCGTCTAAAGAATAGCGTAAGGATGAACTCACTGTATTGTGCCGTAGATGCAAGGCGTACGAGTAGAGCGTGAGAGCAAAGAAAATCTGTACGTTCCCTCGACACATTTGTTGTTATTTAAGTGGCAAAGCAGCGAGCGAATGTGCGCACGTACGCACCTTCAAGAGCCACCCCGCTATCAAAACAGTCGCGGCGAACCCCTTCTCGAAGTTCCACACCTCTTGTGCTCCATGTACCCTCGCTTCTCCCGTGATGGGGCTGTGATGTTGCACCTTGCCTGGAATCTCGTACTGTAATTCGAGGTTTTCGATCAGGTCCATTAAGCCTTGCTGATGCAGCGCAAGTGGCGGCCGCTCGCCTTTGTGGGGAGCTGAAAAGGTCGAGTAGGCGAAGAAGAATGTCCAGAAGGAAGAGAGAAGGTGATCGAAGGCGAAAAAATGAGAGTAACGGAGGACTACTCGTGGGTCCTCCTGTTGGCATCGAAAATTCCCATGTCAGTCAAAGCCTAATGAGTGGTTTTGGGCGGCAGGAGAGAGAAGTACGCTCACGTCACTGATGCCTCGCAAGCCCCATAGCAGAGCTCCGATACTCAGAATGCTGTAGGCATACAGGCTGACCTGCGCGAATGTGCCGCCCGAGAAGACGGCCAAGATTCCGTAGACGCCGGCGATCTTGTTGAAGAGAGCAAAAAGCGAGATAACGGTGCTCCCCTGTTTGAGATCAAACAAGCCCATAAAGGTGGACCAGGGAAAAAACGATAAGCGACGACTGTACACTGCTGACGGCAGGCCGCTCGAGCCGAAGATTGGCGCATATGCTGATGAGGATGATGGAGCCATCTTGAGTAGCAGGTAGCACGATTCGCGCTGCACCTAGACCTGTCCGAACGAGCGCCGCAAATCTAGAATGGGGGCGAGTTCTCAGCCCTTTCTGAATTCCAGGACGGACGGCTGCCGGGATGTAGGCCGTCTATGGCTGCTGGCTTGTGACTGTGTGCCGATCTACCGCCAGATCATCAATGACGAGCACCCTGTCCTTCTTACCGACATCATCTGCGACGCCACGGTTTGTCAAGTCGCCAGTGATGTGCTCTGCTCAGATTTTCCCGCAGCTTAGGCAATAACGCATGAGCTGAGATCAAAGTTCGTGCTGACTGCAAGGACTGTATATGGACCTTTGCTCGACTGAACGTCTTTGAAACTCATGAAGTCGAACTGCCAAGCCTTTCTGTTCGTCTTCTAATGGGCTCTGGGTTATCTCCTGGTTCATGCTTCGGCTGGCCTCTGTCCAACTTGATTTCGACGTTTTGCTGTCACCAGGGTTATATTTTGGGGGGAACCAGGGTTAACTTCCCCGCAATCGGGTCCCAAGCAACAATTGAATGCACACGCGTGCGGCTCGTCTACTCTTGATCCTCAACACTTCATCAATCTCCCTGATATGCTTCTGGGTGACCATCGATTCTGCAAAGAACAAAGTTTCTCCGAATCTATCACATCTCCTTGGCCTCGCTGAGGGAATTGTGAGCGAATGGATGAAATGCTCCAGGAGAATCGACAGTCGTAATAAATTAATACGAAAAATAGGGAACTGGTTTGTTTCTCTTTCAGCGCAAATTCTGGATCCTAACGTGCAGACGGACTGTCTATACTAGTCCGGGTCACCCAGACTGCGGGCATCTGCATCCTTCACTCTTACGACGCGTGTCACGATGAAGCAACAGCCGCTTCCGGAGTGACCGTAAGCGTATCTTGATCAAAGAAATATACACCACGATAGCATGCTTGACATTCTTCTGCGCGACCAATGCCAGAAGTCTAGCCAGAGCTGAGTAAAGGACATCAGGAGCAGTCAAATTCGTAAGCATGCGCATGAACGTGCAATGTTGAAATTGGAATATTTGTGTAGTCCAACTCACATTCCCGGCAGGCATCTCCTCGCGCTCTCTTAGCTCGTAGCCGTGTTCCCTGCCGAGTGGTATGAGCCCTGCCTGAAAGTCACGAAGTCCGTTCTCTGGATTTCACTTCTTGAGCATGGGGTAAAACTGAGACGTGGAGTGAACGGGAGCTGCTGCGTCAGCCCCACGAGAGTGGCATACATGGAGCCCAATTGGACCCACCTGGCGGTTCCCTTCGCTAGCAAAAGAGTCTTGCTCGTTAAAAGCACCGTAAAGCGCCAATACCCCCGACCTTCGTCCTTTTTGAGCATCGCAGTCGGGAGAATCTTTGATCAGCCCAAAGGCCTGCTCAAACGAGCTTTCGGTAAAACTCCACGGTGCGATATGCGTTAGGTTGAATGCTAGTATGATGGCTGCTACTGGTTTCGCGCATTTGGACTTGCTTGTATCGGAATTGGGGGCTATAGAGCTATTCTCACGATCTAGGCTCCCATGCAAGGTACTGCTCAAGACCGACCAGGCCACCTCGTCGAGGATCTTCAGCTTGTGTGCCGGCAATATCGTTACCAATGCCTCTTGCGTTCTTTCGAGACGCGCTCGGATCTGTGGGATAAGGACCTGATCTGCCACTGTCGGGTGGATTCGATCCAGTGATTCCGCAGAGAATCATTTGGGCTTGCGTCCTTGATGTATTCTTGAAGACCACGATCGATGAAATTGAATTGCTGCCTCGTGCCGCTCGCAACCTCCAAAAGATCAACTGTATCTAGCACATCTTCAACAGCTTCTCTTTCGCAGGCAGTGACAAAACCGTGCAACGATTCTCGAAATGCGTCCCAAATATGCCCTTGATTGCGATCCGCAGAGTCGAGGATAGACCAGCAGTCCGGGCATGCACTCCCTTTCTTTCTGGATACTTTTCCTCCCACGCATTGCTCATGTTTTGTAGGCTCTGACGCTGACCATTGCTTCGCAATGGCCAAACTGATCACTCCCTCCGACGCTCTGTTCACTGGATATGACAAGGTGTTTCGGTCATTCGCTAAGGATGGCAGCATTAACAACTTCACTACTTGTCTTGCAGCTCGCGAGTCTCAGACTTGTCCGTGCGGCGCCGTCAATCTGATTTATACATCGTAATGACACTGAGTGTGGACGGCCACCCATGCGACCAGGACATTCAGGCTTCGGGTTCCGGTCACATTCAAAAAAGCAAACTGCACAAGCCACCACGATGCTACTTCCCCCATTGCAGTTTTGCTCCTATTGAAGCATATCAACAGCGCACAGTAGCTGCTTCACCGCGTAAATAAGTACGTAGGTGGCACTGAATGGTTAAGGTACACAAACCACCATCAAACGCCGGCTCTGTATTATCGATCGGCGTCTGCATCGTCCGTCTGATCTGCCATCGGCCCTGTCTGCGCACGTACCGCTCCCACTGCTGCTCCAGCTCCATCACGCGGCGCATGACTGCCCCGACTGCTGCTACCACCACCAACAGTGCTCGCAGCACGCTCGCGCAGGCCAATCACGACGTTTGTCCCCTTGACTTGCGTGAGCCAGGAAGGCAAGCCGACAGCATATTCCTTACTAGAATCTCTTGTGCTCTCACTTGCCTCTGCGGCGACAACATTTGAGGAAGCTGCGGCTGGTGAGGAAGTGCTTGTGGCGTCGGCACGCTCGTCAAGGCCGGCAAGCACGAGCTTGCGCAAGCCAGCTTGCACATGACTACCCTCCAGCCGAATACGGATCGGCTCGGCGTCGAGAAGAGCCATTGAGGGTACTTTGTACGGCGCGATGCGGGGGAATGGCAGTCGCAGCTGAGGAAAGCGAAGGGAACCAATTCAGCAAACTGGTTGAGCCCTGAGATATAGCAAAAAGTAGTTCAGAACTCACCTCGAAGTCAATGCGAGGCACCATTGGAAGCGAATCATCTCCCTGCGCACCAAACATCTCCTTGGCCTCTCTTCGCCTCTTGAACCTTCTTTGCTCTACTTCTCTGTCGCTGAGTCTCTTGACGCTGGCGTGCAAAGCCGGAGCATGTTGGCCCAAGGCGGCACCGATATCTTGCTGCTCGCGGCGTTCCTCTAATGACGGTGGCGGCGTCAGAAGTCGACCATAAATGATGACTGCCTCAGTCTCACGGCGTCGATGTACCGCATCGACGAGCGGACCATCTTCCACGTAGCCGGTGACCATGTCTAGGCCCTTGCCGCCGCCTGGCAACGCGTCGCGCGCGAGAATGTCACGTAATGAGAGCGGGTCTCGACCTTTGAGCTCGGCGACGTTTTTTGGAAGCGTCACTTCCCTCTCTCCCCCTGTCACAGTGTCATCTGCCGCTGCCATTGCTGCCTTCCCTGCGGTGATAGCTGCTTGAAATTGAATTGGCGGAATGGAGACATTGACGCTGCGAGCCCCTGCAGCCTGCGCAAAAGCAGCGAGAGCGATGGTTCGGTTCTCGAGGCCACGACCTGGAGAACCAGAAATCAGCAACCATGGTGTTCGAGGGATGTGAAGGATGTAGAATCCGCTGGCGCAAAGCTCGGCAGACGTGGGCGCTAATGTCAGTCTCAGGCACGTGAATGCAGTCGTCCAGTCGTCCCCTGATGCTGTCTTGAATTTTTCTGCGCCTCGGGTCGGCGGCGGAGAAACGGAACGCGGAGGTGTCGACGGAACTGCCGTCCTCGGTTGCGACAGGTGCAGATAGTGTGCAAAGTAATGACGAAGTTCTTGTGTGTAGAGGTCTCGGAGAAGTACGCTGGACACAGTCGGGTGTTGCACTACCGTTTCACCCAGGAAAAAGATTTCAGAAAATCGCAACAATTGTTCAACGCTTCCCAACCAGCCCGTACTCACCCCTATCCGGCGCATACTCGAGCTTGGCCGCAACCCACGTCCGCGAAGTGCGTCTAGCCTTGAGATAAGCCAGCTCAATCTCTGCAAGCATACCAAAGCTGAGACCGTCGCTCCAATCCACTTCCAGCACCCGATCCACTGCTCGGACCTTGGGCACTCTCTGATCCCTCATCGGCCCGTCCCAGATAGTGATGCAATCCTCGAGCGTCCGCGCTCTGCGTTCCTCGGAGAGGTCGAGTGCGGCCCAGTCGCCTCGCCGCTGCGTGTGTTCGCGCGGTGGCCGACGCGATAACTGGGGCGGAAGGTGGATGGAGGACGAGAAACGGAGCCACCCGAGTGCGAGAGAGATGAGTTCGGGCTTGTCGAGACGCATGAGCAGCTTGCGCGCGTGGGAGGACGAGGGCGAGACAGTCTGACCCTCGTACGAGGTCAGCAGGGACGATGGCCCCGGAAGCGCCGTTAAAGACGGACGAGACATCTTCTTCCCTTTCTTATCTTTCCATTGAAGCTCTGCGACGTCGATCTGGCCTTAATGCGTGGCATGAAAGGCCGTGAGTGAAGAGAGCCAGCACAGACGGTGAGGGAAGCAGCATAAATGTAACAACATCAACACTCTCCGACTCAGAAACACGCGACCTGCGAGTCGCGACGACGATAATGACCAATGGTAGCGAAAACGCGTCCAGATTCGGCCGGCTGCAGCTCAGCAGTATGCAACCCTATTTCATTCAGCCATCACTTAAGAGGACTTCGTGGGAGAGTTTCCCATCGCTCCATCTCAATCCACGTTTGCCCCGGCCGAACTACCATCGCACTCTCAATCTCCAAGTTCAGCATGCCAACGCTACAAGATTGTGGATAGAAGTGGTCACTCCCAAGACTAGAAATGGTGTGAGAGGTAAAAAGGGCTCTGAGGGCGCGTGGCTACAGATGAGCCGAATCTCATGTCCGCTGTGGAAGCATGATCGTGTTGGGACGATTCGCAGCAAGTGCAGCTCGAGAAGCTGCCCTCGCGCTCCACCCATTCGCCTATTCACTGCGCCCATGAATCGCAGCTTGCCACGAGTAGTCGAGGCTTTCTAACCTCAGTTAGAGAGTAAGTCTGCACCAAGGGACTCTGAGATAGATCCGAGCGACTATGGTGGACCTAAACGCGAGGACGGGCTGTTGTAATTTTTGCAATTAAAAGTTTGCAGTTGCGAGTGAAGACTTCATTAAGCGCCATGCGTACAACTGAGCCGGTAAATGACGTGGCAAGTCGCGACCAGCAAGAGGAGGAACCGACTTGCAACTTGGACTACCCTCGTTGGAACCTTGTGCCACCGTAATTGTGTCAGCGCGCGAACAGTGGACGGTCATTGCGAAAATTTAACAGATTACTCACCCATTCCCTTGCTTCCCTGCTTTTCGTAAATAGAACAAGTCCACTCTACTCGCGCCCAGATTGACCACTTTGGGACACCCATCTCTGTCCTTTTCCAGCCGTGTGCATTCGGCGCAGTAATATGCATCTGAGATGCCGGGCGAGCCGCAGACAATACAGCGACCTCCGTACGTCCCAAAGTTGCACTCCTCACAGATATGAACGAGTGTGGCGGGCCGGACGTACGAGTCGCAAATTGGACTGCGCAGCCCGAGGCGAACGAGTGGGGGAGGCAAGGAGGATGATCAATGCATGCTCAACGATCCATGAACAACAACAGCCGCCTCTGACCACACTTACCACTTTCCGTCGCATTTCTCACACAGCCGCCCGATGGCCACACCGGGTAGCTTGCGGCAAAGGATGAGGTCTGGGTGATGCCTGGCGAAGCAGAAGGGATGAGTTCATCAGCGATCATGCTCGAGGAGACAAACCCCCAGCGCAGAGATGTACTTACTTTGACATGATTCAGAAGCGGTACCTCTACCGTTTTAGGAGGCTGAAAGCGTTTCGCAGGTATAGGGTGGGCAAAGAAGGTGATGGGCACGTCGTTGTATCACGCACAGTAATACCTGGATGAGGTATGCAAGAATCCAGACATGCTTATGGCCGAGCGACGACCTCTAGCTTCATCGGACACCTTGCAAAGAGCCCAGCGCATATCAACCCTAATTCACATATTTCACTGTCTGAACAGATGCACACCTATCCGGTGTAAGGTCTCTGTTTCCTTTCTGTTCCGTCTCTCGCGGATTTTTCTCTTTCTAAAGAGAGGTCGGGCCACCCGCTCCTTCTTGTTGCCACGCTTATTTCAAAGGCTGTTATGGGATAAGCCCCAACCTTGAATACGACGCCCTTAGGAACTCTCAAGACAGCGCAGAGAACATGTTTTTCGCCAGCAGCTCTATGCTGCTGCGGCGCGCCACTAAGGCGGCGGCTGCCACACCCAGCTCGGCTAGGGCCTTCGCGGCCAGCCCTTCTTCTCGCTGGTCATCTTCCGACAGCTCGGTAGCTGCAGAGAGTGCGGAGAGCAGTGCAGCCGGCGCAGCACGCAACTCGAAGGATGCGTCAGCATCCTCAAACGCTGCGTTCTCTTCGCCCTTGAACAGAAAGCAGCGCTTCGCTCACAGGGTCCCCCAGCCGAATCAAGAAGCCCTTCTTCAACGGCCACTTTCTTCGTCCGCACCCAATGCAGCGTCTTCGTCATCCTCTTCGTCACCGGCTCAGCAATTCAATCTTGGCGACCTTGCGAGCATGTCAGCACTGCTGTACCACCCTGACCCTATCCTCGATTCTGGCCACACGCTAAACAACCCGGCGACGCCGTCGAATCCCTTTCGGTCGAGTGTGACATTTTACAACTCTGATCTCGAGACTGGTGGATCCATCTTCCCTCAGACTCCGCCATCTGCCGCATCACTCGTTCTCTCCTCCACGAGGGGAGGCGGTGGATCGAATGAGATTGACTCGGCCGCATACCTCTCCTCCATCACGCCCCTCTCCGCAAAGGAGATCAACAATCTGCATCGACACACGCTCGTCATCCGGCGAGTAGTACGCATGACGACCAAGGGCAAAGTAGCATCGATGTATGCGCTCGTCGTTGCTGGCAACGGGAGAGGCCTGGTGGGATACGGCGAAGGAAAAGATACGAACGCAGGCAAGGCTGCCAGGAAGGCTTTCCACGAGGCCGTCAAGAGGATGGATTACGTCAAACGCCTTGAGGGCCGCACCATCCACACCGAGTCGACCAGCAAATGGGGCTCAAGCCATGTTACCATCAGACCTAGACCAGCCGGTTAGCATCCCTTTTATTCACGGCGCAAGGAGAAGGGAGACTGACATGATTTTTGACGTACAGGATTTGGACTCCGTGTCCCTCCCGTCATTCACTCGCTGGCCCGCGCAGCAGGCTTGTCTGATCTCTCCGCCTCTATTCAGGGCTCGTCGAACCCACTCAATGTCATCAAAGCCGCGTGTCAGATCCTATGGCAAGGCTCAAATCCCATTGGCCTTGGCGATGGTGTCGGTGGTAGAGCTAGGAGGAATGACCGCGGTCGCGGCATGCCCGACCTTCGCGAGATCGAGCTCGCCCGAGGCCGGAAACTGCGAGAGGTTCAGCTGGGGAGGTCCGATGTAGCATAGTCATCATCCATGCAGCGTTTCTTTTGGATGCAGGGTAACAACTTGCATGCAAGCATCCCACTGAGCATGAAAGCGGACGGAGAAGAGTGAGAAGAGCTAGAGCTAGAAGTACACAAATACACGAAGGTCCACCACACAGGCTTAGTAGCCTCCACGGCCGCCCCTGAAACCTCCTCGGCCACCGCCACGACTAAAGCCACCCCGACCAGGAGGGCCGCCGCGTCCACCACCGCGAGCAGAGAATCCGCCTGCCAAAAGAAGCAGCGAAAATCGTTAGCTCTACAAAACTAAAGGGGGCAGAATCTGGACTCACCCCTCCCCCTGGGTGCACCTCGCCCTGGTGGGCCTCCACGACCTCGGAAACCACCGCCTCCCCGGCCTCCGGGCCTCGGTGGGCCTCCACGTAATGCACCGCCCTTCTTCTTTGGCGCCTTGGCGACTTTGGGTTTGGGCAAGAAGCGTTCTATCGGAAGAAGCTTATCGCCTGCAATGTACACCTTGTCATCTGCCTTGAAGGACGTTGCGACCATGCCCGAGTCCATCTTGACTGTAAAGTAGACCTCGTTGATGGGGCCCAGAATCTCATCGACTTTGCCAATCTGTGCCTTGTTTTGCAGGCTGTGGATGCGAACGGCGTCAGGCAGGGACAAAGCAAACACAAGCTTCTCCACAAGCCGACTCACTAGATGGGGGCATTAAAGTATGGTACCTGTTTGGCATTCGTGCTGGCACAGAGCATCTCGCCCTCCACAGCATGCACAAAGCTGCCCATCTCGTGCACTGTATCGGGGGGACCAGCATTCGCATATCCTCCTCGTCCACCACCACGACCTCCTCGGAACCCGCCACCTCCGCCGCGCCCTCCTCGGTCACCACCGCCAAAACCTCGACCGCCCCCTCGGAATGACATTTTGTCGTTGCTGTATAACTTCGTCGTTTGAAGGTCTGCGCAATGTCTGTAAAGAGCCTCAGCAGACTTTGAGCAAGCTCTCGGAAGGGAGGGTTATTGGGCAGAGGTAACATCGGAAGACTGGAGAGAAAAAGCAAGAGAAATCGAGCCAGCGTTCAGCCTGCCGCGCACGGAATTCGGAACTCGATGCCACGTCAAAAAGATGCCTGTGTGGTCATGGCAACGCCGCCTGCAGTCATGAGAAGCGCTTAACTTCAGTTTAGCCAGGCAGAGGGGTACGGCAGGTTATCGGGAAGGGATCTATACATGGTGCACACATGGGTAGAGTGGTAAACAAGTAGTAAAGCCCTACGACTAAGCACCAAAATGCGTATTCGTGCGCTTGCTTGAAAGAAGCTTGGGCAGCTAGACAAAAGCAGGAGCGAGCCTGGTCGGCGCTTGCGACCATGTCCCACATAGTTAGCTGTCGGTCCGGCGGTGCCGACTTTGAGGCGCTCCAGAAGCAACTGTTGCGGCACGACCCGGTCGAAGAGCTAGAGGGAGAGGCGATAGAATCAGCCGTGATAGAACAAGAAGAATTCTTGATCAGTGTTGAGGCCACTGGCACGCATGACAGACGAAATAGCCATATCGAAGCTCCTGGCGGCGCGTCGATGTCAGCAGCCTGCGCGTCGAACCCGACCGCTGGGGCAATGGGAGACGCACTTGAGCGTCTATCAAGCAGCTGCGAGGCTCAGAACTTGTCACAGCGTAGAAGGAAGCTCAGTGACTACGACGACAGTTCAGTGCAACAAACACTCGTGCGATCAGCTTCGCCCACCATTCATCAGCAGAACGGTTCTGAAATGGTGGGCTTCGCTGTAATTGGCACAAGCGATTCACGACAGACCAACGACAGTATGCTGACCTTTGCAGAGCTCAGGGGTAATAGCAAAGGCAAAGCTGCAACCCATGGCGAGCTCGAAGCGTATGATGGCGACATGCTACCCCGCGAATCGCGGAGCGCAACTGTCTCACTCGAAGGTGGAGGGATGCCCCGACCAGCAGGAAGCGACCGCAAGAGAACCAAGGGTGTCGCATTCGATGAGGAAGCTCTCTCGGGAACCGAAGACTTTCGTCGAGGCCACGGCAGAAACCAAAGGCTCGGCCACGTTACTCGGTCCAACTCCGGCTTTGCTGGCCTCGAGCAGCAGCTGGCCGAGGGAGGGTTAGGAACACCGCATACAACTATCCCCAAGCAACGCGTTCCAGGCATGATCTCACCTGCCGAGGTTGCTCCTCGCAAGCTTGGGACGTGGGATGGGGTCTTCATTCCTGTCAGCCTGAATGTGAGTGCAGCAATGGGTCTGTGCTCAGGCTAGCATACAGCCAGCTCACTGCCCTCTCACTTGCGGTAGATTCTCGGCATTATCCTCTTCTTGCGCTTTGGGTTCATCCTGGGCCAAGTCGGGCTGCTGGGCGCGCTACTACTTCTCTTCCTCAGCTACGCTATCGACACATTCACAGCAATGTCGCTAAACGCGATTAGCACCAATGGTCAGGTACGCGGCGGCGGAGCGTACTATCTCATCTCGCGCTCTCTCGGACCCGAATTTGGCGGCAGCATTGGTCTAATTTTCTTTGCAGGCCAGGCACTCAATGCCGCAATGAACGTCCTCGGGTTTGTCGAGAGTCTGACGGATGCGTATGGCGAGAAGAGCTCAGAAGGAGGTCTTCTTCCTGAAGGCCCATGTTGGCTTTTCTTTTACGGCAGCATTGTCCTCCTCCTCAGCACGATCGTATGCCTCGTCGGCTCAAAGCTTTTCGCACGAGCGACGCTCGCACTAGCCGCCGTACTCGCCATTTCCATTCTGAGCATCCCCGTTTCCAGCATTTTCGTCCACCCGTTCAGCGACGAGGATCGCGGGGCCTACTTTACCGGATGGTCGCTTCACACATTCCGCGAGAATCTTTTCCCACATTTCACCTCGGGTGCCGCTGGCTCCTCAACTGGCGATCAGGTAGAGACCTGGCAAAGCGTGTTTGGAGTCCTCTTCCCCGCCGTCACGGGTATCCTTGCAGGCGCCAGCATGTCCGGTGATTTGCGCAAGCCGAGCAAATCGATTCCCAAAGGAACCAATTGGTCCTTAATCTTTACGTTTGGGATCTACATTGGGGCTTTTTTTATCTTTGCAGGCACCGTTGCGCGCGAGAGCTTCTACTTGGACGTGGGCATCGTCAGCGACATTGCGCTCAGTCCACAGCTAATCACATTTGGTGAGCTAGCTTCAACTGCTTTTTCAGCATTGATGGGCGTCATGGCATGTGCCAAGGTTCTTCAGGCGATCGGTCGCGACGACTTGCTACCGGTGCTTGACGTTATGGCGCAAGGAACGGAGATCAGCGACACGCCAACGTTCGCGATTCTCTTCACGTATGGACTGTGTCAGATCATCCTTCTCGTCGACTCGGTCAACGTCTTGGCCCAGCTCGTCACTATGACCACCCTCCTCACCTTCGGGACTCTGTCATTCGCCACTGCAGCGCTGAAAGCTGGCGGCGCTCCTTCGTTCCGTCCTTCGTTTCGCTACTGGAACATATGGACTGCGCTTGCGGGAACAGCGTCATGCTTTGGCGCTATGTTCTTCACCGACTCGGCCGCAGCAGCAGCGTGCATTGTCTGCGCCATCTTTCTTTTCACCGCCATCCACGTCTGTTCTCCTCCCAAACCTTGGGGTGATGTCACTCGCAACTTGCACTACTACATTGTACGCAAGTATCTCCTTCGCATCGACGAGAGGAAAGGCCACGTAAAGTACTGGCGGCCGCAAGTGCTGCTGCTTGCAAACAACCCGCGCACAGAGTGGAACCTCATCATATTTTGCAACTCACTCAAAAAAGGCGCGCTCTACGTCCTTGGTCACGTGCTAAAGGGAGAATTTGCAGAGTGCCTGCCAGAACTCAAAAAGCAAAATATTGCTTGGCTGAAGCTGGTCGATGTCACCGGCATCAAGAGCTTTGTAGATGTTATCATTGCGCCAGACGAAAGGCAAGGCGCTCGCAACCTGATCCTCTCTTGTGGACTTGGAGGCATGCGACCGAACATTGTGGTCATGGGTTTCCCCACCCATATGCAGTTCCCGGCACGACTCGATGTCAGCAGCAAGTCCAAGGACACGGACGAGAGCCACTTGACCGTCCCAGACGTATTATCATCCATGGAGGCGAATGCACCGCATCAAACGATCAATGTCCACGTTCTCCCGACGGATTCGGCGCGACGCGAGACGCCAATCCGCCCGACGACATATGTTGGAATCATGGAGGACACACTTTCGCTGAGCAAGGGTCTGGCCATCGCTTACAACTTCGCAAATCTGTCAATCCCAGACCCGCGGCAAAAGTCTGGCGAAAATGATCAAAGCCTGCGCTATGTCGATTTGTGGCCTGTTCAGATCGCCAGTTCCGACATGGATCCATCGCACGCTTGGGACACTTACACCATGGTACTGCAGCTCGGCACGATTCTGAGCTTGACCAGCACATGGAAATACCATAAGGTCCGCGTGTCGGTCTTTGTCGAAGTGCCCGAAGACGTCGAAGAAGAGCGTCGTCGCGTTCACAGCTTGCTCGACAATTTACGCATTCCGGCTACGCTGCGGGTTTTCTGTCTGCGCACGTCGCATTTGGAGACGTACGATGCAGTCGTCATGGGCAGGCAGCCGGTGAGCGAACGCGTTGAGTTCGCCCTAAAAGGCGACCCCTGGTGGGAAACACTCAAGGAGCTTCGCAGAGAGGATGAGAGGCGAGCAAAAGCGGCCAAGCGCATGTCAAAGACCGCGCCACAGCCAATTGGGACTGCATCGCCAGCGATGGAAGCTTCCCCGAGTGGGACTAAACGGCGATCGAAGCGAGAGCAAAAGATCTTGGGGGTAAGTATGCCACCCGAGCATTTGGCGTACTTTAAGCGTAACATCAAGATTGGCCTGGCGCATCCAAAGGCACGGCCGAGGCGAGACGATGAGAGCGATGCGGACGACTCAGATGAAAGCGATGACTCGGACCTAAGCGATGAGCTCGCACAGCTGGTGGATGACGAATGGTTTGGGGCTGGTAGTAGCGGGCCTGGCCTTGGCCTCCGCCGCGCAGCCACTTTCAACACAGGCCAACGGCGAACTGGGCGCAAGACGCGCAGCTACTCGGTTGGGGGGTCACATGGCTTGCCAGATGAACCAGTCCGCAGGCCGCTACTCGACAGCCCATCGTTACGGCAGAATGGAGCTGAGTACGGCTCAATGAGTGTCACCCCCACCCCAGCACGCCTCGGCCTTATTCCCGGAAGCATGGGGTCCACGTCATCAGGGTCGACACTCAAGTCAACCCGCCCAGTGGGCAGTCGGACGGCATCGCCGGATCCCTATCTCGCGCCCAGCGGCAGCTCCAGCGTCGCATCCTCGCGTCGATCGAGTTTCAGCGCGATTACCGAGCCGGAGGAAGGCACGTTGAGACCGCGCGATCGCGCCGCGTTTGTGCGTTCTCTCGGTGCAGAGAGCCAAGCCGCAGCCGACGATAACCAAGGCTTTTTGAGCGACATGCTTGCAAGAGACGGCAGACGCTCATCACGCCCCATCTTGCATCATTCACGGTCATCCATGGCGTCGATCAAAACCCCTAAACCACCGCTCATCGCATTCAATGAGCTGCCCAACAAAGCGCAGTATCTCATATTAAAGTGAGTCGCACTGCCTGAGTCGAGATGCCAACAGCTGATCATCGTTTCCCCGCCCCTTTTCTCCAGCGAACTCATCCGCAACAATTCTTCATCCTCCACGTCTGTTGTTCTCACTGCACTCCCGGCCCCCGACCCTGGCACTGCTGACGACGAGCAAAAGAGCTTTCGGTATTTGAAGTCCCTGCACACACTTTTTTCTGGTGGCCCACCCGTACTCGGTGTGCACGCCAAGACCCTCACCATGACAATGTCACTTTAGCATATATTCTTCGAGCGCTGGTGCCCTCGTGGTAACGGGAGTGCGGTCAGATACACATTCTTGCGCCGCGATCACTCCGGCTCGTCATGCAGCAGACATGCCTGCTTTCCTGTCCAAATCTTGCCTGAGTCGATCAGCTCACGGGCCCAGTCGCGATATTGGTAGATGACAGCTTCCTGCCCCTCCATGGTGTTTGGGATGCCGTCTGGATTGACGCTGAGCGAGAGCCGCAGTCCAGAGGACTGCTGCGCTTCTAACCTGGTCAGCGTTCGCAAGACCAAGGCCGTGCGTAGGATCGAGCCGGACCAGCCGCCGCTGATGAAGAGCTCGAGACGTCTCTGCTAGAAACTCAAGGCGTCACAAGCTATTCGGAGCAAATAGCTGGTGTGAAGTGGTCGCAGCTCACTATGCTCCCGTCAGGCTTGAGAGCGCAAGCGTCGTGCAGTCGCTCAAAGGCATTGGCTTCTGCGCTGCGATCGATATAATTGTCGTCCATTATCCTCTGCCAACCATGGTCGGCGCACATAAGGACGACAGTGTAGCTTGGGCATTGAAATCAGCTTATCGGATAAGTCGTCGTCCAGTATGGGGTTGTAGAGCACGGGCCGTTGCAACGCAGGAAAGGCCTGACACTCTGCCTGGCCGGGCATTCCTGCGCCATACCGCAAACTAAAGCAGACTTCGTCCTGGACGCTGATGAGCTCGCGTAGCGGGAGCTGTCGGAAGAGCTGGCGAAGGTCGACGTTGAACATGTTCCACACCTTGTGAAGCCGTTCGCGGAAGGGCACGTCCCATGCCCATCGATGAAGCGATTTGGACTGTTCGGCTAGGTGGGTCATCAGCAGCAACAGGCATCGAGGTGGTACATCGCTCTCTTTTTGAGCAAGGTGATGCTCATGCGCTCAATGTACGCGTACGGAGTCTTTCCAGTACGCTTCGTTATACGATCGGCGCACTCGATCATAGCGAATATAGCTGAGCTGCTCGGTAGTCGAACGCTGTGCTAGAGGATGGGCTGGCAACCCCACTGGCATTCTTTGTCAATCTGCGAGAAAGTAAAAAGCGTCTTTTGCGTTGCGAGATCCAGTCCATAAGCATCATTTTCCTGCGCGTCACTCGTGACGGCTTCCGCGATCAAGGGGTATAATTCTGGTAAGAGCACTGGCTTGGCAGTAAGGTCGGCCATGATGGTGATGACCCGAAGTCATAGCTAGTCGTCTGGAGCCACCGCGGCCCGTACGCAACGCTAAGTGAGCCGTGGGGGCATTCCCCTATGAGCGAATATGACGAGATGCGACACAGCCTTCCTCCGAAACGCTGCACTGCGGAAAGCTGACGGTACGTGCCATGGACACCTAGCCTTCAATTATATTTGGCCAATGAATACGGCTGCTGGGCATCATGATGACGGTAGAAATAGAGTGGGATACACATGAGCAGGACGGCGGGCGGAACGAGTCGGGTACACAAAGTGAAGATCGAGACTCGGACTGCATGCCGTCATGTCTTCTTTTGCTGATACTCGATGTGTTCTGCACAAGGCTGTTGCTCTGCAGTCAAAACGGCACGGAGGATTGTACACGTGCTATCGCCTTGCAGCCCACCCACGCAGAACGCAGCAAAGATGGGTGCAGCTGGATCCAAGCCGACCGACGCGGGCTCCGCGCCGAAGCAGACCGAGGCGAAGAGTACCGGTGCCGAACCGTTGCAGGTGAGTATGGAGGAAATGCGATCGAATCATTGCGCTTGCCAACAGTGCATCATGCAATACCGTCTGTTGCGATTTGAATTGTAGATGGATATACGCTTGTCGGACGGCTTGAAGCTTACACTTTTGTCGCCCGCTGCTCGATCGCTCTCATTCCTAGCTCGGCCGCTCATTGTTGAACGACATTGACAAGAACCAATCCGATGTGGCTGGGAAATCAGACGGCAGCGATAGCAGCGGCGCCAACAAAGATGCTAGCCCATCACTATTATCCGCGACGCGCCAAACGCAGCTAGATGCCTCGATCCAGTCACGCATCAAGTCCGAGCTGTCTCGCTTAAAGAAGCAGGAGAACGAGGTGCGCAAGCAGATCGAGCTCGCGCTTGAAAAGGAGAACCTGGACAATGAGAAGAAGCTAGGAGAAAAGGGGGCGCAAGGCCGAAGCGCTGTATTGCTCCAACAGCAGCTGGATGAGATCTCCCAAAAGATCGAGAAGCACAACAAGACGAGGGAGAAGGTGGAGAACACCCCCGGCGTCAAGCAAGCCCGAGAGGAGGTTACCAAGTGCTACAGGTGAGCTCGTGGCACTACCGCCATGAACCTACAAACGATCGCTGACTCGCGCATTCAGAGATGGCAACAGAACGTTAGACTGTTGGGAAGCAGTGCAAAACTTCAATGCGGCGGTAGCAAAAGCAGAAAAGGTGAGTCCGAGGCAGCAGGACCTTTTTTATCTGCAAATAACGTGGCTACTGAACCCACTGTTCGGATCCTCGCAGAACTTCCTCCTATCAGCCAGCGCTTAGACTTTTCCTCTCGTGTACTGTACAAGCCTTGCCTTTATGCGTGCAGCGTAACACCCGCGTCGACCAGCACGTTGGCGAGGCCGACGTACTTTTCGTCTTGCAGGCACTTACAGACCATATGGATATTAACTGGCATTCCCTTCCAGATGATCGGATCTTAGCGCTCGCACATCTCTCTGTCAGATGGATCAAGCGGCTCGGTGACCAGCGGCGCCTTGGCGCCATGCTCAGGATCGACAATGGTGGCCGGGAACGTTACGCTCGGTCGGTCCGCGAGGTTGAACAGCGATGTATCTCCGGCATAGTCGTTAAGTCGTGCGGTGCAGAGACCCATGGCGTGCAAAAAGCGATAAGCGCATTGATCGGACGGCCCGTGCCCGTCCGGCTGGCAGTCGCCTGCCAGTAGTGCAGGAAGCCCTTGTGCCATGCCAAATTTTGCGATTCGCTTGCCAGCTTCCGTACGTGCTCAGGTGCTTCTATGGCTCTGGACCAGTCATCACTACGCTGTACATGCTGTGGAAGGGAGACAGAGGGTGTGTTTGAGCGTTATCGCTTTGGCATGTACCACCTTCATTGCGACTCGGGCTCTCCGCCGTTGGGTACCCAGGTTGCGGTATCTCGCCATCATCCGCGCTCCATATGACCATGATAATCTTTCCAACGTACAAGCTGCAAGGTGCAAAGACGATGTCATGGTGGTTGGCATTCTGGAACTTCTCCGTCGCCTCGCTCAAGCCGCGCACGATAGATTGATCGATGGGGGTGGGTCACGTCGTCATCCTAAATGATACCGAAGCACAGTTTGATCTATCCCTTAATGCGCCTCAGCCACAGCATCGTGCGTGCTTTCTTTCAAGTCCAGATTCTCTAGCCGGTAGGCCTTTCCGTTGAAAGCATGGCAACGGCAATCTAACCCAGCTCCCAGGGGTGGTCGCCGCGCATGAAAAGAAACCCATCCCTCGAAGGCTTGTGTGAGCGGTCCGATGGCGGCGCTGATGCTATCTTGAGGGTTGAAACCATTCTCAGTACCTTCATACAGTGCGCAATGCATTCAAGACAGGAAGCTCCAGCGGCCATTGAATGCTGCTGGGATTCGAACAGTGCCTTCAATGTCTGTTCTCACGCGCCCTTGGGCGAGCCTTAGAGTCTCAAGAGGGTGTCCTCTCCTCCTGAAGATCTGCTGGGCTAGACAGGATGTTTTGCGGCTGGACCCAGCGTCAGTGGTAATAAAATTTTGCCTCGAAGTCGCCTCAGCAAAATAGGTACGGTGAAGGCACGGTTCCAGGAATTAACGGTGCAGATAAAGACGCACTTGTCGGCCTTTCCCCGCATCATCGATTGCGACACATTGGTGTACACAAAAGGAACGGCCCCAGCAAATAGAAACACCTCAGTGATGATCGATTGCCCCCCTTTGATCTGGGAAATATCTGTGGCGTAACCCATCACCGTTCAAAGCCTTGACATTGAACTAGAAGCAGTCGAGCAAATATTTAGTTGTGGGGTCAGGGGATCAGTGTTTCCATCTCTTTGAAAGAGAGACTCACCTGATTGTTGAGAAAGACAGGAAGGCCATATAGCGGGCCGACATACTTCTTTTCCCGCTTCAGAACTCATCACCAGCTTGCGACGTCTTGGTGGCGAAGTCAAAAAGGTACTCAGTAATGCAAGTTTTCAGCGGCTGAGCGAGATCAGCATGAAGGAAAAAACTTGCATAAAGTGGAAAGCGCTCAGATTTCCGCTTGCGAGCAAGTCTAAGTGTTTTCGGTATCCCTGAGACCATGTGAAAGGGCATAACAGACGTCACCCTGTACGCCCCTGTGAGTGCGAGGGGATGCGGCCCACATCTCGGATATCGCTTGGTCCCCCTTATCCAAGACCATCCTTGACACATTTCGAAAGTTCCAACTGGGAAATTTTTGTTCGGTTCGAGCTTCCAACGGTGCTTTTGATTCATCGGCCTTGGGATCTCCACGATGGAGAATGCGGCAAGGCCAAGTTGTTTGGTGCCAACCGCATGCTTGGTGAGGAGCCCAGGATTGCGGTGAGCGCGCCCGTGCTTGAAGTCTGTTCCACCGTTTTGAGACGGAGGATGCACTATTACTGATTACTCCCGCGGTCATACTCTCGCGATCGTTCGAAAGCGAAACGCAGACCCAAGGAGATGAGGAGAAACTCGTACTCCGGCGGCAGAACCAAGGCATGCAGGTATCGCACAGGCGGGAAAGCGTGGATTTCTGGACCAGGGGTTGGGCCTTCCGTCTGGCGTGGAGCAAACTATGTCATGGTTCCAACGAGACGCAACTGTAGAGTCATTCGCACAGCCGCCATCAACCCTTCGCTGTCAGCGTAATATATCACCATCGTCACAACTCCATATTGAACGACCGAGAGCGGCAGACCACCAGGTGGTCGGATATTGCGGCCGGATCACCCGAAATTTAGATATGCACCAAATGTGCTTCACTGCCATCTGCTGGTCCGGATCTGAAAGTCGGGGAATCTAGAGACCTTCCGGGGGATCTTTGAGCAGAACTCCGAAGATTCAAGATTCAGGAAGATCCCGGGGTGCATTCATAGGCTTTTCGCACACAATCAGGTCAGCAGGCCCATTCCGGGCCAATACAGTGCTCAACGGGGCTGCATCTCTCCGACCTGGAGCGTCATTGCGGGTAAGCTTGGTGCTGTGCACTATTCGACCATTTGGGGGGCGTGTGTTTGGAAACAGGTAAGCGATGGGGGACCTCTGACACAGTGCTCAGCTTCTCCAATCGCTCGAGATGCTTTTGAGCTGGCCACAGTCTCCTGTCGAGCGTGTATATTTGATGGTGAGTCGCAGCTGGGGATCTCACTCGGCAACATGCGTTGTAATTTTTATGGGCATCTCTCGCATCGCACGCTGTCTGGCCATCTCTCGTGTCGCGTGCTTCCCACCTTTGGAATGCTCTCACCAGAATTCAGGACATGGGCAGCCAGTAAGCATGTGGAGAGTTTCTGCGGTTGTGTAGAATACACTCCCCTGTAGGTTGTAATTTGAGACCAGGGCTATTCAGATGAGGTTGTAGGGTAGCGGTTGAGCGGGAAAGGATTCAAACGGAGCATGACAAAGTGGAGTGCATCACGCGACTGGATGAGCTTGGCGCAGAGGGTTGCGATGGAGACGCCCGAGTCGGATGGTTTCCAGCTTGGCCCCATTTTAGAGTTGAGGAGGGAAGGGAGGCAGGCTCGCAATTGCTTGAGCGCATCGAGGCACTGACGCAATAACTGCACAACCACGAGGAGCTCTGGGATGCCGTTATGCTTGCATGGGAAATGACAAGGCAGCGTCGAATTGTGAAGGCGCCGTGCACGCTCCTGCGCCGATTCTAGCATATTTCTGCACCCATGGAAGAGTGGTTCGAAAGTAACCTCGGTGAACGCACATTTCATATGGCGGCCCCACCAGCAATCGAGCCGCCGCCCTTGCCTTCGCCAAGTGAGCAGAAATGCGCGCTGCCCGACCCGGCGAGGAGAGCCGAGCAGATCAAGGTGGTGCTGACATCAACCGGAGATTCCCTCATCTTGGCTGTCAGCATCGACGCGAGTTCTGCCATCCTTCCTTTTGAGGTGTGCAGCCATGCTTGCTGAACATCAAGAAGGGCATGATGGGGAGAGAAACGTCCAAGTATAGGCCGCGCAGTAGAGTCTGGATGTCGCTTGCCAAGAGATCAAAGGCACCGATGAATGGGTCTAGGAGCGGGCCGAGGTTCAAAGAGAGCAGCTTCGCGATGCGCAGTGCGACTACTGCGGAGTTGTGCCTAGCAGCAGATGCAATGCCACCCGAATCCAGCACACCGCTCAATATGTCTACCGGCGCCATAAGCAAGCCGTTGCATGCCAGTCAGGATGGCCCTGTCTGAGGCTTTACTCGTCACTCCAAGCGCCTTCCTCGTCACTTCTTTGCTGTCACATAGAAATGAGAGCGAGGTCGCCTCCTCGGAAGGCACGGACGGAGCGGCGTCCAACGCGAGCGGTGCGAGTGCATCGTCGAGAGTCCCATCCTTGGCGTCGTGAGCCAGCATGGAAGCCCGCCAGCGCGCACCGGGCAAAGTGCTGCCCATAAGGAGAGCAAACCAAGAGACAGTGCCCAGCAAGCCAGATAGTGCGGGTACAAGCCCGGCAAGAACGGCGGTGGGATTGTTCTCTGGCTGGCAACAGAGTGCGCATGGAAGGTTGACGGCAAACGGGTGGACCTTGGCAATCACGTCGCAAGACTTCTCTGCTTCAGTTGTCAGGTGCTTCAGAAGCCGGAAGCCAATGTCGCCTGCGAAATGGACAACCATGCGCGTCACGCCAGCCTCATCTTTGTGGTCGTCAAATGCTGCTGACAAATCGGACGAACAAGCGTCCGTCGAGCGCAGACCGCCGACATATGGCAGATGGTATGGCGGCGCCACGGTTGAAAAATGATCAAGGCAATAGCGAGCCTCAAAGAAGAAGCGGAAGAGCCAAGGCCGAAAAGCAGAGTGTGCACCCGGTACCATGCCTGAGCGTGGACTTGCACAACCTCGAATCCCTTGATGCTGTCGCCTCAATCATGAAGGGACTGAGACCCGTAAACAGTTACCACGACCTTGCATGCCTCAGGAAGTTCCTTCTGCATGGGCCGAGGGAGAAGCCAATGAGTGGCATTCACTGCAAGCAGTGCGAATGACTAACCGACTGGTTTGACAAGTGCGCAGAGCCCATAAGTGGTCAGAAGAGGCTTTGAACTACCGCATCGAAGGCAGAGCCCAGGTAGAGCAAACTTATGGCGGCCGCATCTGAGCTTGGTGCGCTGGTCTATGCTGCCCACGCCACCTCTGCCGTCTCAAGAGCGCAACATATTCGTTTTGCCGTTGCACTCCAGGTGCGGTAGACCTCATCGCCTTCTTATTGCGCGTTTGGCAGGCTATTGCGACGCGAAAACGGCATCTTGCGGCTAAAGACCTGATCTTCCTTATCCGCCTGGGTAGCGTGACCTAGGAAGAGGAGCATCGAGCACTCCAGAGTCTGCGCGTATGCGACGAGCGTCTCCTGCACAAAGGGGTGTTGGTCTTCTGTGGTGACCAGGCTTTCGTCAAGACGTTTGAATCCTATGAACTTGCCGTCTATGAGCTTCATATTGACTGCCTTCGCGCGATGAGAAAAGCGACCGCCGTTCGGTGTGGGTTGAGAGTCTGCACGTCCATGGGACACCGTCCCGCTTCTGCCGGCCAGTGACGTTTTCCGACTGCTTGTACAGAGAGCGCTCGAGCTTGAAGCGTCCTCACCGATTCCGTCTTCGTCGTCGTCATCATCCTCATCCAGCTCCTCAAAGTGCCCAGAGGCAGCTCTGATCTTGTGCACATCCTTGGTGGTGCATTTGAGGCCCCTTCTCTTGCAAGAAGAGCAAGAGACTTCTGGGTGGACATCGACGCCGATTGTGTTCAGCACGACGCTTAGGCGCAAGTCACATCCCTTCTTTGATGCTCTGCAGCTATCGCAGGAAGTGTATTGCCGGCGACCGGTGCGGCTCTTACCAAGCTTACGCTCCTTGACCCTGATCTTGCCAAACACCGCGGCCTCGGCTGGATCCGCGTTGATTTGACCAGAATGGGTGCCACAGGTGCGTGGTGAGTCCGTCTTGGCACGTTTGGAAACCGGAACAGCACCTTTGACATGAGCTGGTGGAGGGCTTTCGGTGGGAGACGTGGGGCAAGTGCTGATTCCGCGTTTTTGTCTGCGGCTGCGCCTACCGTCCTTCGCTGCGTGTAAAGACCTCATAGGCATGAAAGGCTGCACAGGGTGATACTTGTGGGTGCTGCTTTTGTGGTTGCTCCGACCATCCACTTCATCTGCAGCGAGGGTGATAGTGTTGTCCGAGGCCGGCGTTAGCGTGCTGAGAGACGTTGCATTCTGGTCATGTGCGCCTACATTGTGAGAAATGTTGACATGCTCGCTGGAAGGCGTGTTGATAACAAGACCAGAGGCGGCACGTACAGTCACATGCTCCTGCCCCATTCCTCCGCTCGCGTATTGCTGCAAATAATCGCTGAAACTGCCAGGCTCGACAGCGCCATCCTTGGATGGAAAATGCGACTGCTTCGACTTCGGGGCGTCATCGTCCACAGGTGGTAACGCCTGAAACTCCAAGAAGCGAGCCAGCGCTTCCTCCGCGGCGCGGCGCGAGACGGAAGAGTGAGAATTGTACTGTTGCAGCGCAAACTGTTGACGGTAATGCAGGTAGGTCGCATCCACATCGGCCTGCGCATAATCGTTCAAGGCGTGCGCAGGAGACAAAGTAGAAGTCCCCCCCCTGCTGCCGAGGATTAAGCTAGGATATGGCCCAGAGGAGACGCTGACCGGGTGGGGCTGCACTGGATACTCCCCATCGGATTGAAAAGTCGGTATGTGTGCGGGAGGTGGGATCGTCTGAAAGCCGCCAGTGTGCGTTGCGCTTTGCTCTGCAAACGTGGCGTGCGCACCTTGGCGATCCCACGGGATCGAAAAGACGTTACCTGCGTCGGTGCTATCCATGCTCAACATAGCTGGCCCGGAAGGCATGCCACGGTCAAATGGAGCGGTCGAACTCCCTGCCCTGCTGTGCGATTGTGAAGCGATCTCGCTGCTATTAGTGCTCGGACAGTCGTAGTCGAATCTAACGAAGTGCGCATTGGACGGATCGCCAACGGGTAGATTTGATCCTGCGTCTCGTCCTTGCACGCCCGAAAGGTAGAGCGGCGGATTCGCATCGTACGGCGGGAATGCTGCATCGTGGTGTTCATCTGCTTGCGCAGCGACACCAGGCGATGCTCGGCTCGGTATCATCACCTGGAGTTGTTAAATAAGCTGTTGGTAACGGCGAAGCACAAGCTACTCGGCCTGAACGTTCAGCAGTTGATTCCGACCGCCACTCATGGGATAAAGTGGGCAGCATGACAGCTCAATGCACGAGCCCGTTAATAAGGAGAAAGTACGTGGCACATCGTTCACCTTGCGATAGCGAAGAAGCTGCACCAGACCGGGTTGCGCTGCGGAAGCCGTGAAGTAAAACCGCACCCTCTACCTCAACTAGGCGCACTGAGACAACGTAAAGATCGAAAGGCGTGACAACATGAAGACAAGGCAAAGGTGGCATTGATCAGCGCCTGTGAGAAATCACAGCTTGTGTGCCAGCAAACTACGAAGTGAACTGCGTCAGAAGCGTCTGCAAGGCACTGGTTTGCATCGACCCGAGGGCATGCCAAGCGCAAAATTCTGCGGCCTGGTAGACCTCCCTCATCTTGCGCCCGCGTTTCTTCTGCCCTGCATGTCCGTTCTTGAGCGAGACGAAATGAACTACCTCGAGAGCTTGCCGAGCGTGGCGCTACCCTGTATCGATTTCAAAACGGGGCTAGCGACGTGCGGCAGCGACAAGGTGAGTGAGCTTCGATGTGGCAGGGGTCAAACGGCAATGAGCACCGTCGGAAGGGTTCGCTCCAAAGTCTGTAAATATCCTCCATTGTTTGTTCGTCGCCGTGAGCCGCTCCCATGCGCGTCTGAAAAGCGAGAAATGAGGACCCCAAGACACTTGCTAGGTCGTTCTTCAGTCTAAAAAGAAGGAAAAGCGCTCAAATGGCGTCGCAATGTTCACGACGAGGTATGCGCAGCCCCGAGACCCGCGCCCTATCAGGCCCTCATCAACACATAGACGACATCTTGAGCCTCTGCATGACCCTCCTTCTGAGAGCTTGTTTCCGTCTCGGCACCAATTGCAGTCGCTGACAAGCAACGTAGCACTGAGCCCCATCGCCAAGGAAGGCCCAGGCCGACACATCCGTCATTTGAGACGTGGCCGTGAACGTGATGCGTGCCCGCCGGTGCAGTGCCTCTTGGGTCTTCAGGGCCAGGGACCCTACTGCCTTCTTCCTCGCAGAGAGTAACCCAAAGACTTGCCATATGAAGTGGATCAAATGAAAGAGGCTCAGCCAGAGAAACTCCGCAGTGAGGGTGAAAGCAGATTAAGGCACTCTGTCCGTCGTCGCGCCCAAATCCTGTCATTGTCAGTACAGTGAGGCCTAGCGAGACGAGGCGAGACGTCATGCAGCATCCCTGTTTGACATCTAGATGATTTGGCTCAAGCATTGCTCGATAGCTGCTGCTCTATCTTTGCTCTTACCATCACTGCCAGGGCAATTGCTTCAGGGCCGCACATGCGCCATGCACGACTAGATCGCCGCAAAGGTTGTCGCGGGACGCGCCCTTTGACTGAGTACGGTGAGGCAATAAGCAATGCCTGGACTGCTGTCTATTCGTCTTCTTTGACAGCGGCACCTGGTGCGAAGAGTTAAAGGCGCAACAATCAGCCTCATTTCCTGGCCCAAAGGCTTGAAAATCCCAGCGAGACGACAAAAGACAAACGCGTCTTGATCACAGAAGTTTGTCATCTATTCGGGAGTTCATCTTGCGAGCTCTCAAGGCCAAAGGGGGAGACGTAATCGCCATCATCCTGGTAGGCCGTAGCAGGAGTTAAATTTTAGGTGCACAGGGCCAAATAGGAAACAAGCAGCAGAAGAAGCTCCTTGGATTGGAGATAGAGTGAGCCTCATCCCCAATGTCTTATAAAGCAATTCAACGTCGGTCGCCTCGCGGAACGGATATGCTGATCAGGACGTTCAGCAGAAACAGAATACGCATGCTAGTGTTACCTCTCTCATTCCCAAGCGCGACAACCTCGCCAGTCATTTCGTGTGTTGCGCATGAGGCTTTATGAAGTACAAGATTCGTTTGATGAGCCGTTTGATGGAGAAACGAGAGGAAGTGACTATTCTGCGCATTGTCAGCTTGCTGGCTGAACAAATGAGCCCGAGCCCACTCGCTTGTTAGGCTCTTGCTCTACGCAGCAGTCGAAGTGGCAGCAGCAGCGGCGGCGGGAGCAGCAGCATTGCTGTCGTTCTGTCCAGCCTTGGCATAGTCTGAAATCGCAAGAGAACGAAACGATCGAGGATTGGCAAAAAGTCAGAAAAAGGCAACACGAGAACGTGCCCATGGGAGAGCCGGGTCGTAGTTCAGCAGCTCACCTTCCATCTCGGCATCCAGATCCTCCACCGTCTTGCGTGGCTTAGGTGTTCGTCCGCCGCGTCCGCCACGCCCAGTGCCACGTACGGTCGCGCCGCCGCGGGCGCCGCCCTTCGCGCCAGCCCCATTTGCGGCCCGCGGCCCGGCGTGAGCGCCCAAAGCTGCTGGTGCCTTGAGCGGTGCCTTGAGCGGTACCTTGGCCGGGTCGACGACGACTTCGACCTTGAGCGGCTTCTTGCCATCGATCAAGCGGTTGTTGTACTGCTGGTAGCTGCGGTTCGCATCCTCCGAGCGCACAAACTCGACGGTACAGATGCCCGTCGAGACGCCCTTCATGTTGTAGTTCATGGCGATCTTCTTGACGGGGCCGATGCTGGATGAGAAGAGTTCCTATGGGTCGAGCGCAGAAGCAAAGGACCATCAGTGAGAGCATTGCTTCCTGAGACACAGCCAAACGCACCCTAACTTGAGCATCCGTCACGTCGAGCGGCAAGTTGCTCAGGATGATCTTGCTACCGGTGGCCGCGCCGACGCCGCGGCCGGGGATGATGACGGGCGGCTTGGTGGCATTGGCGGCAGCCTGGCGCTGCGCCTTGGTGGAGTTGTTGGCAGCTGCACCGGCCTTGGCGCCAGCGTTGCGCCCGCTGGCGCTGGAGCGCTTCCGTGCGTCCGCACCTCCGCCGGTCCTGCTTCCGCCACGGCCGCGGCCACGGCCGCGACGACCCGACGGATCGGACTTGATGAGCTCGTCGAGAGCTGAGGAAAAAGAAAGTAGAGAAGGTAAGTCAGGTGCTAATCGTCGGAGTTGCATCAAACTTGCACACAACAAAACTCACGTTTGTCGATGTTCATGGACGCCTGTTGAGCAAGAGTCCAAGTCGAGCAGGGTCGAGACCGGAAGTGGTATCATGTGACGAAATGAGGCGGTGAAGCGGATGGCGAGGCCAGGCGAAAAGTATGTGCAATGGAATAGGATGATTGGAAGCAAAGTGAGTGGGTGGCACCGAGTGTCAGACCTTGATGATTCGTGAGTGATCCAGAAAGGAAGGGGAGGTGAAAGAATGCGGAAGGCACAAGAAAAGAACGAGACATAAAGCGTGGAGCTCGATCGAGCCTAAGCGCGTACCGCCAGCGAGTGAGTGAGCGAGCGAGCGAGCCAGACCGGCTTGCATTCCAAGAGCAGACCAATCCAAGCATGAGATGGCTTCGTGGCCCGCTCGACCCGGGCCGAACGTGAGTGAATGAACTAGTCAAACGTCTTACGTCTTGCGGAAAAGGCGAGATTGCAACGTCAGATGCCGTCGACGGCGTCGAGGCACCCCCGTTGCCATCATAGCTACTACACCTGTACTCGTAGGATATTGCTGTCGCATGCACGCTCCAAGTGTGGCACAACCGATCAAGCGCAGCATGTGCACGCCCGTACAGTGCTGCCGCTGTGGGGAGCTTGCTGCGCGAGGCAAGATTGCAGCAGGGAGCGACATGCTACGTAGAGGGCACGCTCTTCCACGCAGACGTAGCGGAGGAAGAGGGGGGTCTGGCACCCGCCTCCCTACCTGCTAGCTATCCTGCCTATTTGCATCCCATGCCATGTGGCCTTGCAGCACAGCGAAAAGCCATCAACGAAGCAGAGCCAGTTGCGTTCGCGACGGTGTTTGCGTGTCGAGTCGCATAGCCGGGGCATGCACCCGCTAGGCGTCAAAAGCAGAAGCTCTTGCCTTCGGCCGCAGCCCATATTAGGGCCGCTTCGCCTTGGCTTCAGCCCTCGCAGCGACAATCGATGCAAGCATTCGCGCTGGCTACCACGCAGCAGCATTCTACCCAGCTGCGCTTTCGCTGCAGCGTTCCAACGCATTGCATTGCGGTTCGGCTGGTATTTCCTGCTGCAGTGTTGCCTTTGAGACATGGCGGTGTCGTCCATTCGGAGACAGGGTCTCTCTGCTGGAGCCAATGAACAGGGCAGCACAAAGTAGCTTTGCAGCTGACAAGCCCTTTCCCAAGTTTTGCTCGCCGGCCAGGATGGCTCGCTCGCTCGCACAGGTCCACTGCTGAGGCACCAACTCGCACATTTTGATGCTTATCGCTCTGTGCGGCTAGCGGGGCACTCTTGAAGCTGCATCTCGGAGGTGAACTCCGCTCAGCAGCGAGCGCGTGCCAGTGTCTAATGCAAGAATGCATCCACCTGCGCCGCCACCGTTGCTTCTAGCATCGGCGATTATCGCACTGATTCCGTCTGTACCTCAAGCGCCGCTGGCCCATCTTCTTGCATGCCGCCGAGACGTACAGAAGAAGGGAGAAGCAGAAAAGGAAATGAGAGGAGGGAGAGGGACGGAACCGATGCTGACCATTGTGAGGGAGAATCAAGGAAGGTTTTCGCGGTGATGGCGGGTTTGCTTCTTCGTTCCGGATTGGTAGACCTTGCTGTCGAGATGTGCGAAGCGTGAGCTGGCAAAAAGGTTGGCTTGCTGCCGTTTGGATGGGCCTGGACGGGGTGGTGTTGGTGAGATGGTGGAAGAACGGATGGAGATGTTGATTGGGGGAGGGAGGTGATGATGAGGAGAGGCTTGAGGGACGCATGGTGAGGGCACAAATGGGAGGGGGAGGGCACGCGGAAGCTCTCACACCTGTCAACAGTTTGCTGCTTCTCTGCGCTCAACTGGCTGCGCTCACTTGGTATGCGCGCGCGACTCAAACAGGTCGGGCACTGCGCCAGTGATGACACGACTCTGAATCCCCCCCTTCCTCCGGGACACTCTCACAGAATCGCTGATGCGAACCATTTGATGATCTCAAACAGGCAAGCCTGGAATCAGTCCAACATGCTGTTCACTTTTCCACTTTTGCTAGGCTTTGTCTGCACACATGAGTATGCCGCCGCAGGCATGGCTGCTGGCGTCGTCCCCGCGAAATATGTACTGGCAAAAGGGTGCTGGATTGGTCTCGCCTTTTCACAAATGCTCTGCACCGCACGCGGTTCGAACATCCAGTCCGTGGCCCAGCTCTCTTGCTGGTCATGTGTCCACCACGATGTTGACGAATTGAACTATACAAGTTGTCGGCTGCTTCACCTATGTCGAGACACCGGAGCCGTACAATCATGTACATAAGTGTTAGCATGTGCATCGGTACCCATCGTCGATGCGCAGCAAAACAAAAGTTGAGGCGCCCCAAATCTTTCATGTATTTATCGATGTCTAGCGAGGAACACAGTCATGTGCATCGCATACACTTCGCTTGCAACTGTTCTGATAGGAAAAAGTATAAGCTAGTATGTTGCCCATCCAAATAGGCGATGAGGCTCGCTGCAGCGTCTACTCACGCACGTGAGGTTGGTGCAGGTGAAAACAAGAGGCTTAGGTGGGGAGGCCTGAGAGCCGACGATCGATTATTCATTGGTGCGGGGTGAGGCACGGCTCGTCAGTATCTAGGCGAAAGGGGTTCGAGAGTTTTTCACGCGCAGCACAGCCAACTCAAGCTGGATCACTTTTCGAGATTTATGCAGGAAACCAGGTCTTTAGCTTTGGGAAGCGCAGTGGCAAAGAGCGAACCGGGGGATGAGGTGGTGGTTGTCATTATCATCATGTAGGGTTGTATCACTCGCTCTGCACTCCAAAAAAAGGAAGGAGACATCTATACTTTCACCTTACAAGTTGCGTTTCAAAGTGCAACCATGTATGTACGCGACCCGGTCCATCTCCTTGGACACGTTCTCTGCACCGTGCACACTGTACCAGCGCTAGGCCGATCCACACTTGAATGACTGGGCTGGCTGTGATGGGCGGATTTACTTCCGTGACCGTTGTCGCCTCGGCCGTGTTCCTGATGGGTAAGTCGGTCCCGTGGCAGGCCGCCCGTCCACGGCCGCCAGGCGCGCTGACTAGATATGTGCCCCTACCCTCGCCTCCCCGCATGTACCTCACGCGCACGGCGCAGGGACTCTGGCAATGCATTGGACTGCGGACCACCTGATGCTGTGGCAGACGCCGATCACACGGCAGTCGCTGCTGACCGCGCACGAATACTACCACTACACATTCTCGGACGCGTCCAAGACATTTCAGAGCGCCATTGTCGGCGTGGCGTGCCTCGGCGCCGGCACGGCGTTCGTCAAGATCCTCGGCGGGAGAGAGAGCAATTGGCTCTTCGACGGGGCCAGCCTATGTGCGTTGGATAAGATGCATAGGCGTACTTTTACAGTGACCACTGATGCTGTTACAAATTGCTTATACCCCCTGGATACAGTTCTCTGGGCAGCGATCGGGGTAGTGCTGTCACAGAAGGTATTCCCGAGTGGGTGGAGTGCAGTACTGTGGCTGTTGACGCTTACGCTGTTGTTGCTGACGATGGAATTTGTTGCGCTGCAGGCATCGTCGCGCTACCGCCGCTGCTGCCGTTGCCCGAGGCAAATCCGCTGAATGCGTCGGACCTGCTTTCGATCTTGCTGCGTGACCTCGCGACGGCAAATGCGCTGATCGCTGCGGCGCTCGTCGGCGTTGTGCTGCTGCAGAGCGGGCAGTATTACTCGGAGCGGTTGGAGGAGCGCGAGCGCATGGAGGAACTGGACGCGCGGTTACGCCGGCGGCAACGGCGCTTGGAGCACGAGGCCCACGCCACAAAAGAGAAGCTAGAAACTGCGCAAACGGGGTCGTCTGCGGCCATAGCAGTTACGACGGCAGTGTCGATTCCGGCGGAAGGCACTTCCGCGAGCAGCCGCGCGTAGCTGCACCTAGGCTTGGACGATTTGCCGTTAAGAAATACTGGCCTACGCTTCCACTGCACTGCATCCGCTCTTGCTCCCCCGCTTGCCGTTGATGCAATATTCATCTGATTTTGAGGGCTAACGGTATACGCTTACGGAAGCCAAAGACGATTCCACACTTGATGCTGAGCGCTTGCGCCATGGCCTGGCGGGCATATGTGCTGACCCCATACGGACTTTGTTGAGGGCGGAAACGGACCGCAGACACGAGAAATGTAGATGTAGGCGCGCACTCACGTCCTTCGTAGACGCACGAATTGCAGCCGCCGCAGTAGTAGCAGATCATTGCCTCGACATCTGAGCGAGAGCAGGGAGAAACGCGGGTCACACTACAAGCCGCTGGAAGCCGAGCTAATGCGATGGGTGGCGCACTGTGCACAGCCATTCATCATATTTCGTGTGAAAATGTATTTGGGGGGGGTCCGCCTCAGAAGAGCCATTTGTTGAGCGGCTGCGCAAGCGGCGTCTATGAAAAAAGCGCCTAGCTGAGCAGGAGTGCAGCGAGGGCGGAGAGCCGGATGTGCTATGCGCTGCTGCCAATCCTGCACCCCAAGCGTCTGATCGAGTATTGCGCCTACACATTCGCCGTCTCCATAGTCGGTGTGGCCGAGACGGGCGCTGTACGTGGGTTGCGGCTGCGGCCACGCAGAGCTGGGCCGGCTGACGTTGGCGGTGGCCACGCTACCATTCTGCGCAAAGTCTTGCAGGGAGGCGACGTGGATGGATCGCAACGGGCCTCAGCACATCGTATGGAATGGGCGAGATGATGACATGCTTATACAAGCGACCATGCTGCATACATGTCACCTGCCAAGGATCACTGCCGGAGAGCACGACTTGTTGCAGCCTTGCACAGCTAACATTTTGTGCTCAAGGAGGGGAGACATGGCCTACTGACAGTGGATGATCAGAAGGGTGAGGCAACCCTACTACTGCTCGAATCGAGACTGTTGTTGTTGTTTTCATTGGTATTGTTAGAAAGAGACCGAGGACTCACTTGCTTTCACGCGGGGACAGCGTCTCGATCCGATTACGATTCTCAACCCTTCACAGACATTAGAAGCGAGGTTGGGTTGCCAACGGGAACGAGGAGGCACGATCAGTCTCGATGGGTTAGCCCGTGCTTGATATAAAGAAAGAAGAACAAATGAAAGAAAAAACGAATGGCTGCCCGCCAGTGCCCAGTGCCAAGGGCGCAGCCGTGCCCCGCTCACCCAATGGCTGGCTAGGGCTGCCCCCCCCTCCCTCCCAGGGCTACGCTGCCCCGGGCCACCGTTGAACGCAAGCACCACAGCGGTCTCGACCCTTCCTAAACCTAAGTCCGCAATCTCCTCCGGCGTATTGCTGGACCGGTCGCCGAGAGGCCCCTCCATTCATTACACTTTCGCATCCCTTACAAACATCTCATCGTCCATCCTCTTCTTTGTCTTCCCTAATTTCCTATACCACCCCCTGTCGCATTCTTCTGCATACCTCGAGCAAGAAGTTCGTGCACAGCAACTAAGCAAGCAACCACTCGATCCACTCCTAAAGTTGCTACCACAGCAACATCCACTAAGATGCCTGCAATCCCTCAAGGAAAGAGCGCCGTCACGCAAAAGAACGACGACGATGGTCAGTGAAGAGCTGCGCCGCCGCCACCCATGCGCACGACCATGACCAAGGCACTGACACCCCTCCCTTTTCTGCAGTCGTCATCGTCTCAGCTCTTCGCACAGCCATCACCAGGGTGAGTGGGACGCAGTGTGCCGAAGATTCCACGCCAGCCGAACTGCGCCGAGTCCTGACCACGCCGCACCACTTTTACTGTCTGTAGGCAAAGAAGGGCGGTCTCGCTCAGTGTTGCCCGGAGGAGATGCTGGGCAACGTCCTCAAGGCAGTTCTTGCGCAAAGCAAGATCGACCCGAAGCTGATCCAGGACGTCGCCGTCGGTAACGTCCTACCGCCCGGCGGCGGCGCGACGCAGGCGAGGCAGGCTGCGCTCTGGGCCGGTATTCCCAACACGGCCGCCGTCATGAGTCTAAACAGGCAGTGCAGCAGTGGCCTACAGGCCGTCAACCAGATTGCCACCGCCATCAGCACCGGCCAGATTGACATTGGCATCGGCGCCGGTGTCGAAAGCATGACTGTGAGTCGCGCATCTGTCACGCGCTGCCTGTCATCGACGCGCGCTCACGCTTTGCCTCTACATGCGCAGCTCAACTACGGCGCTGGTGTGATGCCGGAGAAAATGTCAGACCGAGTCGCGGAGAACGAAGAGGCGGCGGACTGCCTGATGCCGATGGGTATCACGTCCGAGAACGTCGCCAAGGAGTATGGCATCTCGCGCGCGGCACAGGACAAGTTTGCTGCGCAGTCGCAGATCAAGGCTGACGCCGCGCAAAAGGCGGGAAAGTTCCAATCCGAGATCGTCATCGTCAAGTATACCGACGACGACGGCAACGAGCGCGTCGTCGACCGCGACGATGGCGTGCGCAGTGGCGTCACAGCGGAGTCGCTCGCAAAGCTCAAGCCCGCCTTTGCCAAGGACGGCGCCACACATGCCGGCAACGCCTCCCAAGTCTCCGACGGCGCCGCCGCCGTCCTACTCGCCCGCCGCTCCGTTGCAAACAAGCTCGGTCTCCCCGTTCTTGCCAAGTTTGTCTCGGCCGCCGTCGTCGGCGTCCCGCCCAGGGTCATGGGCATCGGCCCCGCTTTTGCCATCCCGCGCGTCCTTGAGCTGACCGGCCTGTCCAAGGACGATATTGAGATCTGGGAGATTAATGAAGCATTCGCCTCGCAGGCCCTCATGTCTATTGAGCACGTCGGAATACCCTATGAAAAGGTGAATCCGAACGGAGGTGCCATCGCGCTCGGACATCCCCTCGGCTGCACCGGTGCCCGTCAGATTGCCACAGCATTGGCGGAAGCGAAGCGCGAAAAGAAGAAGCTTATTTGCACGAGCATGTGCATCGGCACAGGTATGGGCATGGCCTCGATTATTGTGAACGAGCAGTGAGGCGAGATCGTGTTAAAGCTCCCATGTATTGATCGATCGCACGAATCAGAACACCGAGAAACGCGGGGGATCCATGTCAATAGATGGAATCGGATTCTCTCTGTGCATTGATCCGGGCATCTGGAGCCACTTTACTATTGGCAATGTCACCGAGTACCACTCCAAAACGGGCTACCACAGACAACCTAGAAGTGCGTCATACATAACGAGCCGGTGACGGGGATGCTGTCGATGGCATGATGCTGATGCGTGTGCTCAGGTGCAGGCGTTGCTCCGAAACGAGAACGGGCGAAACATAGGGCGTGCTTGTGGTTCATATTAGGGTTGTCTTCCCTGACTCCCCGCTTGAGACCGAGCTTTGCGGTCCAGTGACGAGATGTCTGTCGTATTTCCAGGTACTTTAGGGTTGCTTCGGTGTGTTGATTGCGACTAGTTATGTTGATGGGCCATTCAGCACCAGCGCAAACGCGTTTCATGATCACATGACACAATCCTCCCCTCCCCGAGGTCTCACGCGCGACTCACCAGCTGTCTGCCACCAAGGCTATGCGAGGTAGCCTCATCTTCAGCGAGAGCACGGCCTTCATGGCGCGTGCCGGTGACAGCCTGTATTCGTGGCCCCCACTCGGCTGCTCGCTTCATAGGCCCGTTTCCAAGCGCTGCCGGACATGCGATGAAACATCGCTGCATGCTGTCGAAGTCACGCCCGAGCCAGGGTTGTGAATTTTCCTCCCATCTCTGCAAAGCACATCACTGGCACCGCTTTTTGCTTGCGTGTACATACGTACGTACGGTATGGCAATGAAGATGAACGTAGCTGCGGCAAAAGGCGACTTTTTTGTAGTAGGTACTTGAACTTATCTTGGCCTGCTGTGCTGTGGATATGGACCTCTATGGAGTGCATGCTACGTGGATCAGACGCAAAACTCAGAAGCATGCTCACTGCTCGTGACACCGCGTGCAAACGACAGCTGGAGGAAGGGACGCTCGGCCACTCAAACTGCTTCGTGGCGTTTTACAGCGCGCCAACTGAGCCCTGCTACGCTACACTCAACCGGAACGAAGATCAGTATGTCGCGAGCTTCGACGGGTCTGGCGGCGGCCCTTCGAATTGTCCCTTCTTCTGTGCGAATGCTGCTGTCGGCAGCCTCTTGACGAGCTGATCGATCAAGGAGAATTGAAAGGGAAAGCGGCTCGGATATAGAAACGGCCGCAGGTCGAACCCTGCATAGAGTAAACCAATTGGTTACGGTGAGGAGGCGAACACACAGACGGGAAGCACTGTAACTCACGGTTGTCATCAGGGCTGTATGACTCGGCGTGGTAGCTGGGCGTTAGCGTGGTCATCTTGTGGCGGTTCCTCGCATACTCGAAAAAGAACATCTTGACCTTGTCCGCAATCTCCTGCGGCGTGAGGAGCTCCTTCCACTCGTACACAAGTTTGGTGAACATGCTGTACGGCCCACACTTGCCGACTTTTCGCAGCCGGCCAAAGATAGAGAGCTCGTCGTACGTCATTCCCATATCTGCCTCGTCGGCCTGCACATAGTTCTGCGTGATGGGCTCCAGCTCTGCTGTCGGCGTCGCAGTGATGAACTTGTGCAGCACGGGCAGGTTAAAGTCCTTTTCTGCAAACGCGATAAACGCTTTGAGGTCCGTCTTGGAGATCGCACCGATCGGATTGAGGTCCGCGGAGGAGCAGTCGTACTTGGTAAGATAACCGCGCAGCGACTCGTCCACATTCGCGCTGCCGAGCACGAGCAGCCCGCCCGACTTGCCGCGCACCCATGGCAGGAGCTGCGCAAACATGTACGCCAGGAGCATGCGCAGCCTCGCTTGAATGTTCTGTAGCGCCAGGTTTTCCCCCGCCGTGCCACCATGCACTTTGAAGCGCGGGGTAAAGGTAGTGACCGCCGTAAACAGCGTCAGGATCGCTTCAACCACATTGTCCATATTCAGATCAACGTGGTAAGAGCCAATTGCGTGCGCCAGCTCCTTGGCACGGGCGCGCGTGTCCTTGCTGCTATTCTTGGTGCCCATGTAGCACGTTGCAAACAGGCGTTGGCACACATCCTGCGGACTAGCCGGGACCCAGTTCGACTCGGGAACTTCGCTGCAGATCCGCCGCACGTCTTCAAGCACCTGCTTGTTTGGCCCGCCACGCGATTCTGGTCGCGTGCACGCCTCGTGGACAAGCCGACACATGCTGAACACAATCACGGACGTCGCACACGAATCGATGCCGCCCGAAAGGGGAATGAAGAAGCCCTGCGTTCGCGACCTCCGAAGGTAGTCCCATAACCAGCACGCCGGGCCAAGGCTGGAGACCGTCGCCAAAAGGTGATGCAAAAGAGTCAGTCAGTGTTCTAGCGGTACTGGCGGCCTACACTCACGCAATCTCCTCTTCTGGACGGTGGTAAAAGACCGCTCGCGGCTTGGTAACCACATTCCGGTCAAGTTCATCATTTCTGTCACCTGTTACTGCGCCGTTGATGGCCAGGGGCCCTTTTGCCGCATATTCCGGGCCCTCGACAGGTTTTCCGATGGGCAAACTTGCTGGCATGCCGCCATCCAGTAATACGCCAAAGGGATCCTCAATGCCCAGCCGAATTTTTGCGTATATGCGCTCGAACCGCGGCAAGCGCGCACATTGGGCGGCCTGAAACCCGCGGCTCTTTTGCGTCCTCGCGCTGCGCACATCCTCTAAGTCCACCGTGGCAGTGACAATCTCCATGTCCTCCAGGGAAAATTGCGTGCCTTGCGCGACCATGCTGCCATTGACGCTGATCAGCGCACAGCCGTCGTAATACATGCGGTCGCCGTCGCAGCCTTGCTGGTTGGCATAGAGATATACACCGCCAGATTTCGCCGTCGCATTGAGGATGAGGTTGACGCGCTGGTGCAGCTTTCGCAGCTCGTGGTGGGAGCCGCTTGCATTAAGAAAAATCTCCACACCATCTAGCCCGAGTGCAATGTGCGGGCTGTAACAACGACATGAACGATCAACATCTGCTCAAATCCACATAATGAAATCATATTTAGCGCACCTGTCTGGGGTAAAGAGCTCTTCACACAGCTCGACGCCGATGGTCGTGTCTGTCGTCTGAATGACGGCGTCGCCGAACGGCACCCTGTCCTGACCGGTGACATTGCGCACCTCGTCAACCGGAAGGACGAAGGACTCCGTTTGGCCCCTCCTATCTGCAGACCATGGCGTGAAATATCGCATCTCTCTGTAGTTGCCGTCATTGGCGAGAAACATCTTTGGGCGGATGAGCAGGATTTTACCGTCGAGGCAGAGTATTCGGCAGTTGTACAGCGCGCCCTTGTGCAGGACCGGCATGCCGGTGTCGATCAGGATCCCTTTTGCGCGCTCATCGGAGAGGATCTGCGCGAGCACCTGCCACGAGTGGAGCACCGTGTCTGGCTCTAGGAAATGGTCAAAGCAGCCGTAGCCGCAGATCTCGAGCTCGGGACCGAGCCGCAGCTTTGAGCCTCGCCGCTTGGCCTCGACTATGGAGGCAAGGATGCGGTCGCGGTTCCCGTTGAAATCGAGCGCCCACTGGTTCAGCGAACATGTTGTCAAAATAACTGGGTGCCCCATCGTGTGCGCTCGCCAGCAGCCCTCCTACACGCAATCACTGTTCCAATGGATGTCAGATGCCCCACCTCCCACGGCTCTTCCAATACGATTTCGAGCGTTGACAGAGCAGCGGTACTCGTGCTTGTGCCTCTTTCTACCTTGCTGAGCACCGTCAATTGCCTCTCATTGGCGCAAGTATATTTACTGGGATGTGTCAATCGATGATGCATACAAGAAAGGTTTGGTTTGTTGTCTGTACGAATACTGTCTTGAAAGCGAGAGAAGGTGCGCCACAAATGTCCCTCCCAGCGGGGATAGCTTTATTGATTGCGACGCGGCCGGAACGAAGAACCACCTTCTACGCTTCATCACCAGCTTCACCTTTGGGCACACGACATTGGCAATCCCCACCAAACTGCAAGGTTTCACGATTGTGGGCTTCCCCGTGACGACATTCGGCAAACGCACCGAAGAGCACGATTGGCGCTCCTAGGACGACGCGGAAGCGATAACGACAGTTGGGCTGCTCGGTGACGTTGCAGGAACGACTAGGAGCACACCCGACGGGTTGCCCTTGTACAGGCAGGATGAGTTCGCATGAGCATTCGTCACGGAGGACGTCCCTGACCACAGGAGACGCAATGACTTCCCAGCGAATCAGTGGTCCTCGGGCGCCACTTCCGCAACCACCATCCTCGCCCTTGCCAGGTGGAACACAGGCAGGGCCGACAGGTGGATCATATTTTAGCAAGGCAGGCACAACGGGAGGCGGCCTCGGGAGCTTACCAAGCCCCAAAGGAGGCACCGCTGCGCCTTTACTCCCACAGCTACCTGCGCTCGGCGAGTTGGACCCAAAATCGAGAGAGCTGATCGGACAGTACACAACGTCTTCCTCGGTGCCGCACAGCGCCGCGACGGATCAACCCAGCATCTATGGCATGGTGAAGAGCAGCGGGACAGGGCCGTCCGGCTCAGCCTCGCAGAGTGGAGGGTATATTCAATCAGGTGGGTCGCGACTATTTTGCTGGCAGTAGGATGTAGTGACACGCGGATGCTCATCCAAAATCTTCTGGCTTTGGCCTGCTGCAAGACGGGGTCAACCGAAGCAACAGTCCGCTGATGGACGTAAACCACTTTTCCACGCGGAGTCCCACACCCGGTCGCGATGCATCAGCTGCAGTCAACGGGTTAGGGTCCAGCCAGTTTTCCACTCCGCCTCTGTCGCAACGAGGGACGTCGTACCATACGCCGCTCACGAGCTCCTCGGCTGTCTTTTCCAGCCAAATGCAGCAGCTCCCGCTGTTTGACTCGGCGCCCTCGGCGCAGCTGGAGGGCCACCCTTACTCTTCTGGGTCTGGTAGAGCGCCAAATGCTACGAGCCATACGCCAGCAAGGGCCCTCCCTGGGTTCTCGCCTGCCGCACCAGCTAGCACTGCCGCACCTGGCAACAACAACATCGCCGCTTCCGCCACCTCACGCATTAACGTCGTGTCTTACCGGCATGCATCCATTAAGGCCCTCATCGACCCCTCGCTCAGCGTGTCGGACGTTGTTCGACAGCTGTGCGCCAACTCCCACCTCGGGGTTCAAGAGCCAGCTGCGCTGTATGCCCTGAGAGACGAGGAGAACGACGAGCTCATCACGGACGAGAATTTGCGCAAAAAGATAGAGGAAAGCAAGCATTTCAAGTGAGTCAAAAGCCAATGGATGGGAACTACATGCGTGATTTCCTGACTGGCATGTACCACTTCCAGGCTCTGCTCTTCACCCACGATTGAGGCTGTCGAAATGGTAGAAAAGCTGTCGGCCTACCGCAAGGACGACCGCGTTCTGAAGATTGCCACGTACACGCTGCAGCGCTTGATCCGCGAGGCGCCTTTTGCGAGCGAGTTCCTCAATCGCGGGGGGTTGACCGAGTTGACCAACGCCATCATGTCGTTCCCACTGGATGCGACCTCTGTGATCCGCGCGCCAGTGCAGCCCGCCACCATTGGAGTCAACACGCTGGCATATGCGCTCGTCTCGTGCCAAAACTTGATGGAGACGTTCGACGACGGATGGGAAGAGCTTGATGGTGACTTTATCAGTGCCATCGTCCGGATCCTCGCGCGCATGGACCGCATCAACGTCTGCAGGCCTGCAGCCGCCATCCTGAAAAAGCTCGTTCTCAGCGGGCCGAGCGATCCGAACGACGACGTAGGCACGCTGGGCGGCGCGAGCAGAGCAGGCGATGCAGCTTCGATTCGCTCGGGCAAGTCCACGATCCGCCCTGGCTTGCTCTCAAGCGGCATGGAGGGCAATGTTGGCGTCGGAAGCAGTGGCGCATCCGTGCGCGGGAACGACAAGACCGAGACGGGTCCGGACGGTATGCCAATCTTGCTTGGCATCACCAAATTCGGATTCGAAGTCATTTACCGCCACATTTCCATGGAACCTGCATTGCTCAGCACACTCGTGCAGCGATTGGGAAGCGCAGATACAACGTTGTGCCTGTACAGGTGAGTCAACCCTATGCCACACCGCGTTGGACCCGCCGATCCCTCTGACCACCAATTCTTCAGTCTGAGCCTGTTGAACAGCCTGATGCGCCACGTCTCCGATGCCCGCTTTGACGAGTTCATATCTGAGCTTGAATCGCTCGGCATCGCAAAGGCAGTTAGTCGGCTCATGTCGTCCAACCAGTCCGATGAGCTCATACCCGGCATTCTTGATTTCCAAGCCAACATTGTTCGCATCGCAAACCACCGCATGCGCACGAATGTCACGCCACAAAACAAACGCCACGTCTCTGCGCTTTCTTACGTCTGGCTGCAAGCGCGCATCACGGAAGTGGCAGTCGAGCTGAACGCCTCTCCGACCAATTGTGAAGGCGAGAACAGCATCGTCAACCCGACAGGCAACCGCTTTTCGACGAGCCACGGCCTCAACAGCCGGTACAAATGGAGGCGGCTTGGTTTCAGCAGCGAAGCCGTCGCAAAGGAGTTCGGCAAGATGGGCTGGCTGGCACTAGAAAATTGCGAAGCGTTCGTCCGCGCCGATCCCGAGGTGTATAGCAAGATCATTGCCGAACAGGTCAATCGGCCTGAAGAGCGGCGCTGTCCGTTTGGTCGCGCATCTATAGAGGTGACCGAGATTCTCGTCGATCACTGGAACATCGAGAACCCCGGCTACGCTTCCCTTTCGACTCTGCAGCCCTTTCTCCTATTTTTCAATCGCGTACATAACTTCGCGCTGCGCTTCTTCCTCCGCATGTGGACAGAGTCTGGTGCTGCGGTGTCCGACTTTAGTCGAGTCGCGGCGTTGGTGCGAAGCCAGGTAAAGGAGGCCCTGCGCGACGAGGGCTCCAAGACGTGGTTCGACCTCGAGCGCGCTTTTCTCGAGAGTGAGTACCGGACCGTCAGAGAAAGGCAGATGAAAGAATTGGAGGTGGAGGACGAGTATGCCAGCAAGTCTTCCATCCGACATCTCAAGAGCAAGCTCTACCGTGAGAGCTACGAATTTGTGCGGCAGCAGCGCATTCAGTGCCTTCTTGAAGGTGCATGGTTTTTGAACCCCGCAATACAAGCTCGAGGCGTGCCAGCTACACTGCTCAATGAGCCTCGCTCGCCTGGCGGAGCCAATTTCGGCCGTCGGGGTCCCGGCGGTCTCGGCGGAGTAAAGTCATGGCGCTTCTACCGACTCTCTCCAAACAAAAAGTACCTTCACTATTGCGAAAGCGCAGAGCGCATGCCCATCCGCGGCGGCCTCGACGACCTTCCGGAACGCATCGACCTTGCACAGGTGACCGACATATCGGTCTCGAACATGGCCCAGCAGATCCGCAATGCGAACGACCCGAATGGGCAAAGCCAATTGGGAAGCGGTGGAGCCGGCCCCGATATCAATTCGGCTAACCTGATCTTTGGCCTCATCCGTGCGCCAGACACTCTGATTGCGGAGATGGGCGCACTCTCCCAGAGCCAATTTAGCGAATGGGTTGATGGTCTTAGCATGATGAGGGGCGAGGGAGGGGTGGTCAGCACAAAGGATACAGCCGATCTGATCCAGGTGTTGACAGAGATTGCAGTCCAGACAAAGCTACTGGATCTGACAGGCGAGCAGGTGAGCATTTTATATATATTGAGAGAACCGTAATCGCAGTTCTTATCCCTTGTCCTTGTCCACTAGATCGAAGCGCCAAGCTCTCTGCCGCCCGTGCCGCCCCCATATTCGACCGACTTTTTCTTCGCTGATCTTTAAATGGCCAGAAGCAGAAACTCTCATCTTTGTTCCAGAGGCGGTGGCGTGCCAGATGTACAATGTACGCATAGCTGAAAGATACCCTCGATACAAATCATGTATCTAGCCACATAGTATCACAGTACAGACAATTTGCATGATGATCTGAGCGTGTGGGAAGACAAATGCGCGAGGTGCGAAGGAGGCTACACGATCCAGAACAGCAAGCAGATTCAGTTCTCTGTCGAGCGAAAGATCTCATCGGGGCCAAAACGCGGGTAGGCCCTCTCGAGAAAAGAGTGCGAGAGATTTTATCAACTATCGCCTTTTTTTGTTGCCCATGCTCGCGGCTTTTGCTATAGAGGTTGAGCTCGCCGGTGCTGGTGATGGTGTCCCGGATGATGACAGTGATGCACCTAATGATGAAGATCGCGGCTGTGCAGGCGCGACGTCGCCAACAGAGGCCGCAGATTTGCGCCCCGCATGTTTCTTCGTCGCTTCCTTTTTTGAGGCTTCGCTCACGTCACGCTGGTCCAGCTGCTCCGGCTTGAGCTCGAGCTCGCCATCGGTTTCGTCATCGCTGCGCGAGTCATTCGCCGGTGCGCCCGTGACGACGCGGTATGCGACGCGGGCTATCATGACGAACCATATGCACAGGAGGACCTGCAGCGCGCAGAGCAAGCTGACCATGAATAGGATGAATCGGTCCGTATAGAACCAGCCCTGCTCTGGTATCCACGTCTGCACGATGAAGCGCCGCGACTCGACGGCGGCGGACCAGAGAAGGATGTTGTACAGCACATGCCGCGTGATGACCCAGCTGACAAGGAAGAGGCCGAAGCCAATATCGCATATCGTTTGCAGGCCAACGTAGCGCAGACACTTAGCAGCCTGTGTATACCACAGTTGGGGAGGCAGCAGTTAGCTACCTGCGATTGGTTCATAATGCTAGCTTCACGCATCCTGCGGCGCAGCACAGACTCACAGAAAGAAGAATGTCGCTCGGGTCCATCAGGCATAAGATCATGTTGCCGATGCGAGTGTAGTTGGTAAAATAGGAAAAGACAATGAGCGCGACAGTGATGATGTGGTGCGCAAACATCTGGAGATAGTCTTTCCGCTTCGTCTCGACGTTGAGCACGAAGATCTGATGTAGCCAAAAGCCGAGCTGAGCGAGGTAGTAGAACTGCACATTCGCGTAGATATCAGCTCTCCATTTTTGATTGCAAACACAGGAAAAGAGCTTTGACACACCTTGGTCAGGCCATCGATCTGGGCGTGCGGGTATCCGATCCAAAGGTGCTCCGTTTTGAGCGGCCAATATGGCTGCCTCGAGGCCACCCACTACGCGCAAAGAGAGTAGAGGACATAGAGCGCGTTCAGTGACTACGGTTTTCACGACGCATGAGCATGCCAGGACTCACCAGACTAAGGGATAGTGACGGCACGTAGAACAACACGCACCACCCTTGCTCCGCGAAACGCAAGACGCTCTTGTCGTTAAGTCGCGCCACTTGCTCCTGCGTCTCTTTTCTGTGCGCCTTGCACGGCGGCACTACTCGCTTGACAACCCATCTGTTCCCAAGCGGGATGAGAACATGCTTGATGATGGCTGCGCGCACCGCGGTCCAGATGAGCACCCATGTGAGTACGTAGAGCAGGTCCGCGGGGCCCTTGTCATACAGCTGGTTGGCAGGCTCGAGAAGCCACTCCCAGGCGCGTCCGCTGGCGTCTGATACTGAGCTCGAGCCGATGCTCCAGAGACCTGCTGCACCTCCCACATGCCGCTGCGTCTTCTGCACCACATCGGCGAAACGGCCGCCTGCGACGGGGTATGACAGGCCCAGGAATGCCTTTGTCACCCAATGCAGCGCACTAAGCGGGTGGCCAAAGCCTGCAGCATCAGACTTAAACGGTCCCGCAGAGAAGATGCGGCTGTACGTGGAAGAAGTGGTATAGTCGTGGGAAGCATTCGGCACGTCGGCGTCGTATGGCGACAGTTGAGGCAACGAATGCACCCAGTTGGGCAGGAGGCTCTGCAGCGAGTGCGGTAGCAGATTGATCGAGTGCAGCGCTTCCGAGCTGGAGATTGCATGCATCACGCCGATGGCTAGCAGAATGTACAGCGGGATCTCTGCAGCAGCGATGGAAAGTTGGCGATCAATCAGGTACTTGTTTCGTTGCGCCCCTGTGACACATCTTCCTCTCCAACAGGAAGCCAGCGGCACTGTCTGTGCTGGCAAGCCCTGCAAACCTCCTGCCGCAGAGAGATGCAGCGGACAGCCAACTCACCGAATTGACGCGTCAGAAAGAGGTCCTCCTTGATCTTCTTCTCATCTCGAGCCTGCTGGCGCGCAGCTGCATAGGCAGCAGCTGTCCCAGGGCCCCGTGAGGAGGCGCGGCCGCGGCTGCTGCCGCCGCCCTTATTGTTGCTTCGCTTGGACGGCATCTTTGCACTGCACGCCTCTTGGTGCTCCTTGCGTGCCAGACGCGTTTCTGGTAGCAGCAAAGATGCTTGACGGTGCGTGTTGAAGAGCGTAGCCGCCTGTCACACGTTGAACAGCTTGATAACTTTGGCCTCTTTGCTGTCAGTAACACGTTTGCAGCGACGTGGTATTCGGGGTAATATACAGGAATATCTGTCAAATACGTGCCTTAATTCCCTGATCAGCGTGTATTCCCCGGAGTGCATCCGGCGGCGGCAGCACTCGGAACTGCGGGGCCAAGAAGAAGACAGAAGCTCTTCTTACCTCACAGATACACTCACTCTCTCCAAGCAGCTTGTAGACGCCGCGGCTGGCATGCAGCTTATATTACCAAGCTTGCGCTCTTCCAAGGGTCCGTGCCACGCTGCTTAGTAAGAGACAAGGCTGCAAAGGCGGCGGGATTCTCACTTCTCACTGATGCTTTTGGCATCTCACGCGTGAACACAGCGCTCGTCAAGCCACGAGGGGGATGTGTTCCAGGGGCGAGGGACACTGAGCTTGGCATCGACGGCGCGCCGCGGCGCATGGGCAAGGTGCGATTGCGACCAATGGATTCTCGACGTGACGCAAATCCTGGGGGAGCTGGGGGGGG